ATAAGGTTTTAGAGATTTATTCTAAATAAATATGTAGAGGTTTATTATATAAGTGTAATTTTAACAAACATATATGTATAAATATTTGTATGTTACATGTATGTTACAGTGGCGGTTCGTGAGCCGTGGGACTGGTTAGGCGACAAGTTTTTAGATGCATCTATTTTTTGGAACTGTTTTCAGGATCTTTATCGCAGAGTCTGCAGCAAAGACTTCCTTGATACAGGTTGAGCTTGTTCAGGTAACACTTGACAGCCATGTGTACTGTCAAGAGGCCTGTTGTAATCCGCACTTTATTCCTGCTAAGCATTAACAGTTCTTTTGCGGTTTTAGGCCCTTGAATAAAGGCCTTGCTGTGCCTGTGCCCCTGTCTCTTTCTCCAGTGGACATTCTGCTACAAAAGCTACAAGTCGTTAGGTTTGTACTATATGGATGATGGTCTAATAATTCGATGTTTCCTTGCTTTAAAAACTGGCTTTGAGCTGGAAACTTGCATTGTCTTGATGGAGGATAATTTGTCGTCGAGGGTTAATTTTCCGAAACTCAGCAATTACTTCCGACAAACAATAAGTACGCACGATATATTCGATTATAACCAATTTTGGATAAAAAGTTTTCAGATAAAAGCTGTAGATAATCACATCCATAATGAGATTGTGTTTTCCGTTCTTTTTTCAATAATAGTCTGTAATTTTTGACATATGGCACAAATATGTTTTTTTTTTAATGGAAACCATAGCACAGATTATAGAAAGACTGATTCATGGTACACCGAGCCGTACCCGAGCCGGGCACGTTCCGTAAAGTAGACACCGAGCCACGTCCGGGCCTTCAATATATGCTACACCGAGTGGACAACGGGGATCATGTCCGTGCCGATTATATTCTAGAAAACAGTGTTGCCGAAGTGGTACATTTGTACCAAATTTGATACTTTTAATTCTATTTGGTACAGTGGTACTACATTTTCAAATCCAGGATGATTTGGTACAATAATTATTTCCCACGCGCACCGAAAATGAATAGATATTTAAAAATTTTCAAGTTTTCTTCGGGTTGTTATTTAATATAGGCAACGCTATGGACATTACAACGTTTATAATACGTGGTTAATTAATGCGGATTGTCTCCGAATAGTATCGGTAAGCGCGTTTTATGCAATATCAACGACAATAATTATTAAATATCATCTATAATCATTTTTCGGTGCGCGTGGGAAATAATTATTGTACTAAATTATCCTGGATTTGAAAATGTAGTACCACTGTACCAAATAGAATTAAAAGTATCAAAAATTTGGTACCAAATGTACCACTGCGGCAACACTGTTTTCTAGAATATAATCGGCACGGACGTGATCCCCGTTGTCCACTCGGTGTAGCATATATTGAAGGCCCGGACGTGGCTCGGTGTCTACTTTACGGAACGTGCCCGGCTCGGGTACGGCCCGGTGTACCATGAATCATCCTCTATGTGCGCACCGGCGAACCAGCACACCTCCACAAACATGCAAATATTGAAGGGTTCGTCAGTATTTCGAGTACGCTAGCTGGCTCAAGTCGCATGATGTAGGTTAGATTTCGTTTATTTTGTTCGAACCTTTAAATCGTTTTTAAATATGAATGAAGAAAAGTTTATTTTACTGGTACAAAAGTATCCAGAGCTGTGCGATACGAGCCTAGCATTTTATATATAGAGACCAAGAAAGGAAACATGCAATATGGGAGTCGATAGCAAAAAAAAATAGTAAAATTTGATTTGTGACATTCAAAAATATTGGAAAAACTTTTCTTCGAATCTTTTAATTCAGGAAACAAATGATGATATTCGCCATATTACTTTCTCTTTTGATTTATAGAGTGAACCCAAAATCTTCTTTTTTTTAGCTTCCTTCTCTTCCTCCTCTTCTTCACACAACATGGCTAAAAATAATAATTTCTTCCTCTGAACTACTCATTTTCAATACTTTTATGTTGCACGCTCTAGTAGTTGAGCCTTGACAACTGTACTTTTTCGAAACTCTCGCTTATGTTGCTGGTCTGTGGCGGTAAAGTGTGCGATGTCATGCAGGATGCAGGTTTGTGCTGTGCTGGTCCGTACTGGTCCGTGTAGGTATAGTGTGCGCGATCTTTTAGTCCTATTCTTCTTTGGATCTCGTGTGTTTGGTTGTCAAGATTAATTGTTATTTCATTCCCCAGATTTATATGAATACACTTATTCTATATTTGCTTTGTCCACCGAGACATTTTCACTAATAACAAGATTGGTCATTAGTTTTGTTTTTGGATGATTTATGCATAGTCCAATAAACTACTTGTTTGTTTTGGATTCATTTGAAAAGCTTTACAGAAAAAAAAACATGAAATTGTAACTACAAAAAAAAAATAGATTTATCCAGATTCAGGTAAAGGAACAAACAAGCAACAAAGGATTAAGTGAACATTTTCAACTAATAGTAAATTGAATTTTATATGGCTCTGTTTTTACTGATACTATCTTATTTTTATCAGTCTACAATTTCGATTGCTTTGACAGAGCCCACATGGTATAAACCGTGATAACAGCTGTGGTTATTCAACATGATATACCCAACAGTTTTCTGAAAATATTACATAAATAGTTACATAACTTATGAAAATATAACCTAAAAAAATATTGCTACAATAATCAAACAGATAGATGATACAAAACTTTAACTGTCTTGTTGATATTGGCATACACTTAGCTAATGAGGCATGTTAAAGACACGATTGTTTACATTTTCCTTGAATATTAGTTAGTAATAAGTAAGTAATAATCTATTTGGTTTATATGAAGCAATGGGAAAGGCGTGAAACACATTATTATTGCATTTTTGCATAAACTGGGTGTTCGTTAAGCGTAGTAATATCATTATTCAGATATATGGTAATGTTTCTATTATTTATTATACATTTATTTTTTCAAATATTTTAACTAGATATAAAATTGTTTGTAATGGAGCAGATATACCGTATGATCGAGAAAAAAGCGGCGTCAATCGATATATTATTGACTGAAAAAATCAGATAAATACATCTCTCTCCAAAATACAATAAAGGGAATAGAAAAGTATACAAATTAAACATATTCGTCAGTGAAACGTGATAACCTGCTAACTCCATTTTTTACGTTAATAAGTTTTTTTTATACCATTAGAAAGAGAAAAAAATACTCTATAAGTAGGGAAAGCAAACATATTTTTTCCCATTAAAGAAAATTTTTATTTTAACTCAATAATATCTGCTAACTCCTAGTGATCTGAAATAGCCACCGAAATGCTGCTATCTCCGTAATTTCCGTTACGATCACGCTAAAGCAAAATTCTTACTCGTATTTTCTTTAGTACAGTACGTCCATCCAGGGTCGCACTAGGCCAAAGGGGCCCGGGTGGCAATGTAAGAAGGGGCTAGTGTGTTTTTTTTTGGCGTATTTTTTCGCCTTACGTTTTGGACAATTTTTCCCTATTATATACAGGGTGAGTCTTAAATAAGTGCAAATATTTTTAGGGTAGTATATTTCGACCCATGAAACACGATTACGAGGTTTTTTGCGCGAATTTTTTTTTTGAAAATTTGTAATTTAAAAAAAATTGTTTTTTTTTTAATTTTTAGTTTAAAAACGTACTTTGTTTGTAATATGGTAACATAGGTAGTAGATTAAATTTACAAGAAAGAAAATCCAATGATTCTCAAAATTATAGCAAATAATTGGAAATTTTAAAAGTGAAATAACTCGGTTGTTTTGGATTTATTTGAAAAAACGGTAAAGAGAAAATATTATGTTTCTTTTATCGAGATTTACGAGCCCTGAACATATTTGCACTTATTTAAGACACACCCTGTATAGAAATCAGGGAACTACCCTAATGCAAGGTAAACCAATGCAATGCAATGCAAAAGCAAATATTGTTAAGAATAAAATTTATTCATAATTCTCATTAATTACTAATGATCTATAAAGGGGGCCCGCAAAGGCTGAGCTTCCCCTAATAGTTATCTTATATAATATGGCCAGTCCGACCCTGCGTCGATCCGTTCTACGGGGTATCCGTAAAGGGTAAGGGGAAAACGAAATTCGCTATATACGAGCAATTCATCGGCGTGCTATAAATAGTTTAAATAACATTACTTACTTGTAAAAGAATTTCCATAATACCTAATCAGTTTTATTTTTTCAACGTATTTTCACGTAAATGATACATAATTTTTATAAAAATTAAAAAAAATAAGGAGAAAAGTAATAAAAATTTAATAAAATCACGCACTGTCTTCCAAGCTTGGTCTACTTCCGTTGTATAAAAATTAGGATAAGCATGGAAGGATTCTACCATATCTTCTAAGAATTATAAGTTTAATTTTTAAATTATTTTCATATTATATTAATTTATTTTCATATCATATTATTATAAGTTTAAAATTCTGCTACTTCAGTTCTTTAAAAATGCAAAAAAGTTTAAAATTTTCATTAAAAATTTATTCGTTTTTGGACTTGTGTTTTGCTACTAGACCGACGATATTATAAATATATGCTTATGAATATCATATTTTTTAAATTTAATTGATTATTTTTAAATCTGTTTAGGTAATATTCATTTCCACTTTCAAACAATAAAGCTTGCTACCTCCAGAAGTATATTTTTAATTCTTATTTCTGCAAGACGAATATCTGCTATCTCCCTATTGTGTCTGAAAAAGTAACGTAACACGAAATATTGAGTTTTATTGTTCCTCAGCAAATAAAATTCTAATCTCTTTATCATATTAACGCATCAAAATACTTCCCACATGTGTACATATTCTTTTGTACCGTTTTTTTGCTCTCCTGTAAAATTAGGAATAATGGAGTTAGCAGTTTATCACGTTTCATCGACGAATATACTATTATAGCTAGTTATTTATTTATAATTTCAACACTTTTCTAACTTCACAAAACCTCAATTTAGTATAACTTATCATACCTTTTTTCTATATTCTAGGTGGTTAGGTGCAAAATGGACAATATCTCTGGCATTCGTCGCCTACATGCCCTTTATCATGGCCCAGTTCTATCCGAAATTCCACACCATGATACCAGCAGGGCTAGCTGTAGGATTTGGAGGAGGCCCACTATGGTGCGCAAAGTGTACTTTCTTAACAATCGTGTCAGAAGCTTATTCTAAAGTCACTGGAATATCTTCGGACATCGTAGTGACCAGATTTTTCGGAGTGTTTTTTATGTTCTACCAGTTTTCACAAGTGTGGGGCAATTTAATCAGTTCAGCAGGTAAGATTCTTGCGAGCTACATAAATACAGTATACAATACTGCATAATAATTCTTAAATTGCAGGCAATTAGATGCATTAATTACTGAGCGCCTATATACGCTCTCAATTTGTAGATATTAGTTCAGTTTTAATCATCTGCTGATGATGCTAACATGGCTAGCAAAACGCTCGTTATTTGGCAATACTTATGAAATTGTTCAAAAAATCATTTGTGGTATTCTTTTCGTTTCTTCTCAAAAGCATTTCTTCTAGTTCTATTCGGAGTAAAAAGGACTTTTGTACCTCGCCTGCAAACGTACAGTCTGGGCACAAAAGTTATAATTTTTACTCCTAATAAAACAATATATTATTTCTATTTTTCTATACCAGTTATTTGGCTTTTTGTCAAATTGTTTTTTGTTGTTTGATTGTTTTGAAATAAATCGAAAGAGATTCAAATGCTCTTTCAAACTATATTGGGGTTTCTTATACCTATCTAGCCCAGATTTTGAATAAAAGGCGATTTTTTAATAAAATCCCAATCAAGATGGCTGGTGCCGCCATGGCAATTGTCCAGTGACGATTAGAAACTATTTTCAAAATCGACATTAGTTTATGGACATTATCATTTAGAGTTATAAATGTTTACTTAAATTTACCTACAGTAGATTAATAAGTAAGTATTCATTATTTTATCAAGAATAACAAAGCAGTATCTGCTAGCGGGAAGAATGGATATGTTACTAGTGATTTTATTTTGCGAGGAAAATTGCTTCTTGGCCTCAAGGGCTTATGCTCAAAGATATCCAAATAGGAATCTTCCTGATAAGCTTTTCTTTGAAAACCTGCTTTTCCTATTTCACAGAGCTGGTAGTGTGGTTTATAAAAAAACTATTCGGCAGAAACCTGTCGTTGGAAGTGAAGAAAATGAATTTGCCGTAATTGACTCTTTTATAGAAAATCCATAAAATAAATAAAAACAACATAAACTAATTTTAGTTTTGAAAATAGCTACTATATATATATATATATATATATATATATATATATATATATATATATATATATATATATATATATATATATATATATATATATATATATAAATTCGGGTCAGAACGTCCTACGACGTTGTCCGATGCCTAACTTCCACCCTGTGCGATTTTCCCATTAATCTTCGGTCAGATTTTTCTCGCTCATCGACCTTCTTATTCCTTCCATCCATGTTTTTCTTGGGACGTCCTCTCTTTCGTTTACCAGGTGGTATCAATGAATGACTTGTTTTGGAATTCTTTCATTGTGCATTCTCTGAACGTGGCCGTACCATATTAATTGTTTTTGTTCTATATCATTTACTATTGTTCCCTCTATTCCCATCTATTGTCTAATGTCTTCATTTCTGATCTTATCCCTCCGTGAAATTCTCATTGCTCTTCTAATCGCGTCCATTTCTGTTGTCTCTAATTTCCTTTTATTCCTTTCATTGAGTCGCCATGTTTCACATCCATAGAGTAATATGCTTTTAACTAGTGTCTCGTATATATTATATTTTCTGTTTTTTGTAATTTCAGTGCTCCATAGAATGCCATTTATGCATCTGATAACTCTTCGTGCCTGTATTACTCTGTTGTTTATTTCTCTATCGTCCGTTCCATCTCCTGTAAATATCGATCCCAGGTACCTGTAATCTTCACATGCCCTAATTTCCATATTATTGTCTAAAATAAGATTTTCTGTATTAGCTCCAATTGGAAGATATTTTGTTTTTTCTGTATTTACTGTGAGACCCCATTTATCATATTCTTCAATTATTTTCCGCACCATATATTCCATGTCATCTTTGTCGTTTGCAATTATGGCCTGGTCGGTCTGCAAATTGCAAGGTGTATAGGCATATGTCATTTAGTTCTATACCCATTCCGTTACATTTTCTTTTCCATAGATGTAAGGCCTTGGCAATATAAATTTTAAATAGTGTTGGGGATATATAGCAACCCTGACGGATCCCTTTAGTGATAGAAATTTCCTCTGAGAGACCGTTGACCGTTTTTATTTGTGATTTTCCTCCATGGTAAAGATTTTGTACAGCTTTTATCAGAGCTGCGTTAATTCTTGATTCGTGCAATACTTCCCATAATTTTATTATTGGCACTGTATCATATGCTTTTTGTAGATCGATGAATGTTATATAAACTTCCTGGTTCATTGCAGATTTCTTCTCGATGATCTGTTTCAGTGCAAATATATTATCTGTACATGTTCTTCTTCGTAGCTGGAGTATTCTTCTTCAATTAAGTTCCTCAGTATCCTTCCATAGAGGCGACTCATAGTGCTGGTGACCGAAATTCCCCTGTAGTTATTGGGATCCTTCCTTGAGCCCTTTTTATATATAGAGGAGATATAGTTTTTTCCACTGTTCAGGTACTGGATGACCATTTAAGCACTGCTTAACTATGTTTGTTAACATTCTAAACAGTTTTTTGCTTCCAGATTTTATGAGTTCCGCATATACTCCCTCTGGGCCACATGCTCTTCCATTCTTTAAAGACATTATAGCGGTCTTTATTTTGTTGGTATCCACGTAGATTTCCTCTCCTTCAATGTTTATTTCTGGCTGTGGCGGTTCTTGATACTCAGGTCTGTTCTCTGACAACAATTTGGAATAATAAAGAAGGAAGATTGGAATAATAAAATAGCTACTAACTGTCACTAAAAACTTGCCATGACGACACTAGCCCTCTTGGTTGCCATTTGATTGAAAAATTGGTGTGAAAAGTGGATCTTAGTTCTGACATAACCTGTACATTTCAAAATAATTTTAAATTATGCACATTGCCTTCCCCCATATACTCATAAAATATGTTGTTTCTACATCTTTCCGTTTTCGTATAATCAACCGAGGCGAATGAGGTGTGCCACCCTGTATTTAAAGACACTAAAAATAATTTTAACCAAAAAATTCAAAAAGCATCTTTAAAAAATTAAAAAAAAGTAGTTTTTAATTTATTATTAATTACTTAAAACAACTAATAATAATAATAAAAATGTTTATTCAAAATAATCAATTACAAAGTATATAACACTTCATATCCAATAGAAAATAAACATAGAATCCTCTTAAGGTAAATCCTTGTCTGAGGTTTCATTACTACAATAATAAGTACAAAGTTATTATATCCATAATTCTAAAATAATATCTAAAAGTATAAAATTAATTATTTCACATCCACACTAATGCACGCAAAAAAAAAAAACCTATAAAAAGCACCTTATACCGCATAAATAATTAAGACATAGGGCAGATGGCACGTTTTAAAAATACATAATATTTTATTTTTAATATTATTATTGCTTATATATAAGTTTCTATGTATCACATTCTGCTAAGTATAAGTTGATCTATTTTGGTTATTACATATCAAGCCTCCCTTCCTTTTTTTTAAGTAATAATTAGGCACAATTCAACATTTCTATGAACAATTACTTATCAACTTTCAATGCCTTTTTATCACCTATATCCAGTATTTTGTTAAGCATTCAACGAACATAATATTTTATTAGTACCACTGTTCAGTATCCTAATATAAATCAACCTTCACCACACAGAGGTAGTCCCGAATATATGAATTCACTCAATTTTATATAATATGCTTTTAAATATTTAACCTACAATCTGTCCCATATCAAAACACCTACGGTTTACAAAAGAAATAAGAGATGAAATATATAGTCTTTGTTTTACAATACACTCACCATATTTTTAATACTAGAACAAGTAATAAATATAAGAACGAAAATATATCACTATAATATAATTAATCAGAAATATCAGTATTTTTTTTAGATGAGTCAAACCTGATTGTAATATATAATGCACTATACTAGAAAATACACGATAATCTAACTACTATACATTCTTATAGACATAATATACTGTCTTAATGAACATATAATTTAATAAATAATAATAAGAAACAACATATTAAATTTTCTAAGTAAAAGTCTTAATTGCACATAGTAAGTAAATCGCGAATATGCTTATATCAATCAGATTAAAGATAAAACCGTTATAAAATTTTAAAAGTTTGCAAAAAAAAACATGAGAACATAGCCAAGCACAGACGGGCGCACCAATGTACTACTCGTATAAATATGAGATAGACTTTGTTCGCGCGCACAAACATTGTCTTTTTATCCTTGATGATATATGATTATTATACCGGCTTCGTGTGACTTCTGGTTGTTGGTCTTTGTCCTTTGCTTGTTGACTGTAGGGATGTTGTTATATGGCTATGTGATCCCCTGCGCACTTGCGCAGTAGATGTTTTTGGAGCAATAGTAAATTCAAAAGTATTGGTCGGTTTAGCTACTGCTACGGAATGGTATGTTTCTTGCTTGTGACGATCTATACCAATAGACTGAATAGGTAGTTTACTAATGGGTGTACCCGGAGCACTTAGAGATGGTCTAGTTGGAGTATCGGTGAACACTTCGCTATCTGATTCGTTACCTATATTTCCCCTCTCCACCAGTTGCTCGTAATTGTAACTTTCGTTCCCTATCACAAGGACTTCTTTTTTAATGTAAGCCCTTAACCCTTTTTTCTTTGCTTCTTTCAAGTTTTGGTTAAGTACATTTTTGACCACTCTTTCCTTCTTGGAGAGGTCGTGGTCAATGAAAATCTGCTTCCCTTTCAGTTTATAGGCGTTTCGGAGAATTAAGGCCTTTTTTAGATACGAATTTAACTCTATGCGCAATGGCTTATTTGTGTCGTTTCCCAAGTAATATATATTGTTTATATCGTTTAAATATATATCTATTCCTAACAGACTCTTTAGTTGATTAATTACCCAATTAGCTAATTCAATATCTCTTAAGTTTTTGTGGTCCCTAAGCCCAAATATTATTAAGTTGTTTTTCCTAGCCAGTTTTTCTAGTGTTTGTACTCTGCATTCTAATTCGTTCAATTTACTCTGTATTATAGTAATATTCTCCTTTAAAACTTCCGTCTGAATTAATAAATCCTCTCTGACCGTTTTTATATCCTCTTTTAATTCTTGTTTACTGTTTTGTATTAAATATTTTATTTCTTCAAATTGTTTGTAAATGATCATATCTGCCATTTTTTAGGATTGTGAGTGAATATCTGTTATTCAATTAAATTAATTTGCAATTGGCAACGTCGAGCCGCTATAATTTTCCAAAACTGGGTCAAATATGTATTGTTATTCTGTGTAAACTATGGTCAAAGTCCAATGCTAATGACCGCGGCGTGGCTTTTTACAACAAAATTGTATTTTTAAAGATGTTTAATAGATATAAATATGCACTTTTGTATTTAAAGAATGAAGGCTTACTTGTGTGAACTATCTGTAACACTTTATTCAATTTATCACAACTAGGGACCACAAAAAACTCAAAAATTTACTCCACGATTAAAATATTACTTCTACTACACTTCGTGCCAGTGTTGCCAATTTATTTTAAGATATTTTACTAACTATACTTTGAGTGCTGAGATCGAGGCTGAGATATGAAAAAAACTAAAGGGCCGTAATAAGGAACACCCCTCAAATGTCTGTTCTACACGCCCTAAGTATAATCTCATTAATTCGATGGGATTATCTAAAGCTAAGGACCGAATTCCATCTTGCCCATCGTCTTTTCAACCCTTAGGACTATTATTTTAGGTATCCGAAATAGCTTTAACAAAGTGGTTTTGTCTGAAACTTGCTGCTAAGAGTTTCCTAGTTAGGATCTCAACGGCTTGCTAAAAATTAATCTTAATAACCTTAATAATACGTTAGCAAATGTCTAGAAATGATATTCAGATCCTTAAGAATGTTTCTGGGTAGTAAAACAAATAAATCTCTTATATCTGTTACAGTCAAAGCCAGAAATCAATAAATATTAACAATAATTATTAGTAAAAGATCACATTACCTGATTTGCGAACTACGCCAGTATGAGTTTATCAACTAATTTTGGTAGAAGTTTACTAGTGAAGGTTAGTATTCACTAGTACATGTAATTTTAGCTCTCTAAAGCACAAATTACCTATAACAGATGCGAAAGAAAGCGACTGCATCGGAAGAGTGGTGTAAATACACCAGTCGTTTAGTCCGGAAACCTATGCTGTGACGTATTCGCTTGCTGGAATGACATAGTGCGTGGTTATATGTTTCTTTTTAAGAACGCGTGTTGGATTTTTGTTGAACTTTTGAACTGTTATTTCTAAATTTTGGTAATTTGTATATCTTATTTAAAATGTGATGCAAATGTGTTTATTTATAAGGAAAAAAAGATATTTATAGTATAAAAAATTAATTTATTTAACAAAATTTAATCAAAAATGTGACAAAATAGTTACCTTTCTATTGGTTCTATCGGACTTTTTTCGACTATATAAATCTTTATTTGTAAACTTTAATACATCAAATATTTTCAATCTAATAAATCATTTAATGATGTAAATAAGAGGAAATTTCTCACATGGGTGGTCAAATTTTATAGTTTTCATTATATCAAACAGCCTCTGAGAAATGTTTTTAACTCAAAATGCCTTTAATTATGTTTGACTACATCATTAAAAAGGGTCTTCAAATACATCAATGTGATATTTGTCTAAAATTTGCAAAAGAATCCGAATCTCTGGATAACTCGAAATTATTTACCCATTTGATCATGAAAGTGGAAAAATTTGTTCATTTTATTTATGGCTGGAAAAATTATTTATATTAAATTTGGATGAGTTTTGCACTGAAGAAAACATTCAGAGGCTGTTTGATATAATGAAAACTATAGAATTTGACCACCCATGTGAGAAATTTCCTCTTATTTACATCATTAAATTATTTATTAGATTGAAAATATTTTATGCATTAAAGTTTACAAAAAATAAAGATTTATATAGTCGAAAAAAAGTCCGATAGAACCAATAGAAATGTAACTATTTTGTCACATCTTTAATTAAATTTTGTTAAATAAATTAATTTTTTATACTATAAATATCTTTTTTTTTTCTTAATCTCCTACGAGCTGATATAATATGACGAGCAATCTATTAAATTACTGTGACATTATACAGAAAAGTCCACAGACTTCGAGACATAGGAAAATCAAGTCCATTTAGCGTGTATCAAATTTTGACAAGTTTTCAAAATGACAGTTTTGTTTTAGACTGACGTTTAATTTCACCTGACTTCTCGGTGAATGATTTCTTTTGATGGGGTACATAAAATCTAAAATGTACGGCCACGAAGAAATTCAAAACTTGGAGCAGTTAAGGCAGAAAATATTTAATGCCTTTGACACTATCACCCCTGATATGTTATCCAATGTGAGGAGGGATTTTATGATCGTTTGGGTTATTGTTTAATGCAAGAGGAGGCACTTTTGAACAATTCTTGTAATTTTAAATTTCATTATCCTGTTTTTTTACCGTTTACCCATTACCTACCTTGACGAACATGGGAAAACGAAGGTCCGTTTCAGGACCACAAATATTTTGATTGAGAAAATTGGTAACTTTCTTTTGGATTAAAAAACAAAAGTTGTTAATATAATACCAATTTAAAAGTGTTTTAGTAGTTTTAATACCCACTATGATATAAAATTTATTATTATTATAATGTACATTATTATTAATACTATTGTTCATTCGAAATGGCATTAAGGCCCAATTGCAACAATGATTTAAATTTTTCTTAAAGATAAGTAGAGCTTAGAATGAGCTGTATTTATATTTACATTAATATTCACTTTAAATGAGGGAATTTGACTGATACAATTTTTGAATTTGAATTGTTAATGATACTAACAATTTTAGTTCAATTTTTAATAAAATTTATTTAATATTAATAGAAATCCAAGAGATTTGAAACCTCTTTTAGCGATTTATAACATTCTCAAATGAATTACAGGTGCCCTTATTTTCTATAAAAATCACACAGCTTATTTTTGCTATAGCTATAAAAAAAATAATTTTTTAAGGTGTGAAAATTGCGACACACGCTAAATGGACTTGATTTTTCGTATGTCTCGAAGTCTGTGGAACTTTTTCTATGCCTCGATAACATATTGGTGCAGATTATTTTCACCCAAACAAATAATAACCCAAACTATACATTGATGCGGATTGTCTATGAACTCTTTCTGAAGGTCACAGAAACCTGAACGCGTAATTCGGTGTTCTTTCGCATCTGTTATAGGTAATTTGTGTCTAAAGCTTTAAGGCAAAATAATTGAACCTTTTTTTTCATGTATCATAAGTACAGACTAAATATACACTATACTTTGAAAGAAAGATCACTGTCATGTTCTTTGTAAAATTCTAATTTGTAAATTCTTAAGTTAAACGCACCTTTCATTGAACACTACATTAGTAATACACTTTTTGAAAATTATTACTGTAGCATTTAATATTTTAATCCTAATAGAGGTATTAAATTGAGATTTTTCTTTCAGTTTTGTCATCAGGAGAAAGCCCTCTTGCCGAAATCCAATCAAACGTTAGTTTCAGCAATATTACCGAGGTATTTAAAGAAATTGTTAACATTTCCACGCCTCAAAGAGATAGCGGCGATATATGTGGAGCAAACTTCTGCCCTGGAACGTCCCTGGAAGCCGTCCCTAATCTCACACCGCCTTCTCCGTCGAAAATTCAAACTATTGCTGGAATTTATTTAGCTTGCATGATCGTGGCCAGTCTAACAGTTGCTTTCTTTGTGGATTCAGTGAAACGGTAAGCGTATATGTATATACAGTATATTAAGTTCATTTTTATATACAGGGTGAGTTTCCTACGATGTTCTCTATGGGTATCTCGGAAACTACTGGAGATAGAGAGTCGGTTAAATGGGGAAAAGAATTGCAGTTTTGTGGAGTCATAAATATGCGCCTTTCAGATTTTTGAAAAAGTTCATGGCTTACTAGATATTTCGAAAAAAACAAATTTCGGCTATTTTAAAACTTGTTCCTAATTCCATTATAAGCTATTTTAGACAAAAAGTTTTCAGATAAAAGTTGTAGATAATCATATCCTTTATGAGAATGTGCCCTCCGTTTTCTTCTGAAGCCTGTCATTTTTTGACATATGACACAAACATATGTTTTTTTAAATGGAAACCATAGTTGGCCATGACTTCATAAAAAGCGCCATTTTTAAGCTTTTCAGCGATATAAGCTATAATATGTTTTCTTCGAAAAATTACGGAGTTATAGACACTTCTTATCATTTTTAAACAATTTAACTTAGTTAGCCATCGAAACAAGTTTAATCGCCTTTGCTCTTAGAAATGTGAAGCTGTCACATCCAAACTTCGTAAATTAAAATTACCAAAAATTATAAATATGAATTTTTCAAATGAAGAAAAGCGTGTAGGATTATTGGTTCAACTTTTCTTGAACATACATTTTCGAGGATACGTTGACCGGTGAATGTTACGTTTTTTAGAGAACGGTTTCCAAGACATGTAGGAAAGTTTTTAGTTATAGCCAATTCTTATCTTTTTTGACTAATTTCAATTAGATTGCATGTTATTCTTATTCTGTTATGATTTATAACTTATAAAAAGTCACAATATATTACTAAACGGTTCCAGAAACGGTTCCTTACAATTTACATTGAACAAACTAAAACTTAAAAAAATAATATCACTACACACTTTAAGTTATTTTAGAAAATGTTCCGCCATTGTTTTGAATTGTATCTTTTTAAAACCGAATTACTACCTATTCTCGTAAAAGGACCGGTCGACTTAATTAAACTTCTCTAGTACCGCCACTCGAGAGCAACGACGATTGAACTTGTTTCCATTTCTAACTAAGTGAAATTGTTTAAAAATTATAAGAATTGGCTATAACTCAGTAATTTTTCGAAGAAAACATATTATAGCTTATATCGCCGAAAAACTTAAAAAACGGCGCTTATTATGAAGTCATGGCCAACTATGGTTTCCATTTAAAAAAACATATGTTTGTGTCATATGTCAAAAATGACAGGCTATAGAAGAAAACGGAGGACACAGTCTCATAAAGAATGTGATTATCTATAACTTTTATCTGAAAACTTTTTGTCTAAAATAGCTTATAATGAAATTAGGGACAATTTTTAAAATAGCCGAAATTTGTTTTTTTCGAAATATCTAGTAAGCCATGAACTTTTTCAAAAATCTGAAAGGCGCATATTTACGACTCCACAAAACTGCAATTCTTTCCCCATTTAACCGACTCTCTATCTCCAGTAGTTTCCGAGATACCCATAGAGAACATCGTAGGAAACTCATCCTGTATAAAAAAACTACTGTTCTTAAAGAAATAAGACTCCCGAGTTTAATAACACTTAATTTAATAAAAAAAGAATAAAGAAAAAGGAATATAAAAAAAGTTTCTGTTTTAATATTCAAACATATAAGGAGTGATACAAGAAAAGCTCTAGTGTCTGGTTTTACGTGAAAATAAGATAACAATATATAAATTGAACCATTATTATTTAGCTAAAACTTGTAGTTACCGGCACTTAGAGAAAAACTACCAGAATTACATCGTGAACTTTACCGTTCTTCACGAAACCGAAGCAGAGCCACATCTTACAGATATTCAAACCCAACTAACTTTATGGTCAATTTTTCAGTACGACCTAAAGGTTGGTAGGCAGTTCTAAGTACTGCTTAGCCAATAACATTATCCCTGAAGGTTCCCAATCCCTTTTGGATTGGTCAACTTGCCACCTTCCTTCAATCCAACTTGCTTGAACCGCCTGTTGCTAAATGACACCTGTTTGCTCGTTTAATATATTTAACTTAAGCTCAACGATTTTAAGCGGTTTCAAGTACGTGATTTTCTTGTTACCACTTGTTTTATTACCATTTAAGTGATGACGGTTTGACGTTTTTATCTTTAGAAAAAGTCCATCTTTACAATTTATGTGTGTTTAGAGTTCTATAGTTTATTTCTTTTTTTTTTTAAATCGCTTTAGTATAGACCTGTGAAAAATAGTTTCGTAGATGTTTGCTTTACAACTTCTTTGTTAAAAGGGTCCTATCTATAACAAAAAAAAATCGAAAAGATCGCTTTCAGGTAATAAAAAATAATCTGTTACAATTTGCCGTCTCCTTAAGGAGGAAGCTATTGTTTCCAAAAAAAAATAAAGAGAAAAAACTAAATCTGAAAAAAACAATATAAGAGGTATTACTAAAATACAAATCGTATAAGACTGACAAACAAATGAAACAATAAGTTCACGATATGATTGTCAACTTATTGTTTGAAAAGTTTGATTGTTTGCCAAGATTTACAAATGAATTGACTGATAGGAAATTACCGTTCTAGAACGGTTCTCTCGTACGGTTGGAACAAACACATAAACAACTACACCTAATACCAACCATGATAATAGCTGTAAACAATTTCTCCTACTTCTTAATCGATGCTTGATTTCTTCCGTATACGGGTTCCGCGTGAAGGAATCCATCTTGTTCTTCTTGTTATCGATGTTTTCTGATTACGTTAACTGGATTAACTGAATTATGACAATATAACTGCCTGCAAATGTTTGTTGCATGCTTTGAGCGAAAACTGGCCTAAGTCACGCAAACGAACGCATGCCTATAGAGGAAAGTGACCGGTTAAACTGAAAACACTGAAGAAAATACACCTCGAAATATACCAAACCTAAAACATAAATTTAATGAAAGGATTTTTCTGAGAAAGTATTTTTATTAATCACGCTGTTTTTCTTCATACTTTAACATTAAACCAAGTAAATATTTTGTGATTCTTCAAGGGTCTTAAGTAAGATAAACGACTGTAATACGAAGAGGAAAAAGGGTAAAATAGGATCCGGTATTAGTGTCGTTCTTTATCCCAAACTTTGTTATAGTGATAAATGCAACTCCTTCAGACGTTCACACCGTCGAGAGATCTCGCGAAAAGAAAATGAAAAATGAATCTATTCGCGGATCGCGTTTTCATTAAAAAGAAAGTGCACGAAATTTGTCAGCTCTGCCAGGTCGGACGCCTTTTTAAATTTTGCTGATTGTCGTCGTGATCTGAGAATTTTATGCATAAACTTTCGGGTTTCACTCAAGATGATAGTGGCACTGATTAAAGTGCAGTCGAAAAAAAAAAACATGTAAGAACATAAGCGTAGCGTTTTTAATTGAAGGAATGCTGTTCCTATTATATCCTTTGTTGTTTTAAGGTAACTGTTCTTTCGTTTAGCCGAGTTTAACTAACTTTAATGTATTCTTGCTTGACAATCGATTAATTCGTATAAGATTTTTTAAATTTAAAATAAAAACCTGGTAGTGGCTCTTAAAAATGTCAGTTTTTGAATAGTTGTTTTTAGTTTTAATCGACCTAACAAAGCCTTCGACTCTGTGAACAGAGATGCACTTTGGGCAATTATGAAAAAGTTCGAGTACCCAACAAATTTCTTACAGTGTGTAAAAGCCTCCATAACAACAACAAGTCGAGAGTGATTTCTCTATCACCATCATGGATCACAGAGCGATACCTTTCTAACAAACACAGGAGTTAGGCAGAGATGTGTCTTAGCGCCTCTCTATTCAACATATTTATGGCAGCACTCTCCTTTATAGTAGACAGCAAACTGCAGGATAGAGGATTGGACATTAGATACAGATATGACGGAGGTCTGTTCAACATAAAAAAGACTCACGGCAAAAACACGTATAAAGTTTATCACAGAACTTCAATATGCTGATGATTGCGCTATAGTTTCAAAAACGTTACAGCAATTACAGGAAATGTTGAACACTCTTACTCCTTTTGTATCGGAGGATATTAGCTACTATCCGGCTCTTATTATATGTATCGATGATTTGTTTGTTAAGAGTAATGATTTGAGTTCTAATACGTCTTGTAAGGCATATAATTTCAAAAAAGCTGACTATTCCAGTATATACCGAACAATATTTAATACTGATTGGTCATTCTTGGATGACGTTACTTGTGTTGATCGAGCCGTCAATCAGGTGTATGGAGTGTTGTATAGTATTCTGGACACTTATGTACCTCTATACAAATCGCATAAAAAACAATATCCACCGTGGTACAATGCCGAAATTATTAAAAATATTAAATTAAAAGCCGTCTATCATAACAAGTATAAGAAATATAAGAGAGATATATTTTTGCAGAGGTTTAGAGTTGAGAGCACTTATTAAAAACTTAATCAAAGCTAATTACGAAAATTATATTCGCGGAGTCGAAACATCTGTATCTTCAAATCCACAACATTTTTGGGGCTTTGTCCACGCGAGGAATAAATCTTCTAGAATACCCGGTCAAATGAAATTTAATGATGAGGTACATGATTGTCCAAACGAAATAGTGAACAGTTTTGCTAGATTTTTTCAGAGTATTTTCACCCCACCCGATAAAGATGATGTTGATTGGAATCAGTCTGTAGTTAGCAATGAATTTAATATAGCGTTTCTTAATATTACGGAAGAGGAAATACTCATAGCTGCAAAAAAAAATAAAAAAATAAGATGACATCGGGTCCTGATAAAATTCCAGCATTTCTGGTGAAGGATTGCATTGGCATATTAGCAACCCCACTAGGTAAAATATTTAATTTAGCTGTCAATTCAAACACCTTTCCAGAGGTGTGGAAACAGGCAAGAGTATGTCCAATTCTGAAATCAGGAAATCAAAATAACGTGGAAAACTATCGTCCCATCTCAATCTTATCAAATTTTGTTAAACTACTAGAAATAATTATGTATAATCGAATATATACTTCAGTACGTGGCAGAATATCTAGTAATCAACATGGTTTTATGACGGGTAGATCTACCGTTACGAATTTAGCATGTTTTACACAGTATGTGTCTGGATGCATTGATAGTAATGGGCAGGTAGATGTTGTGTATACAGATCTTGCCAAATCATTTGACAAATTGAACCACTCTATATTACTGGACAAACTTAACTGTATGAGTTTTACCACACCATCTTTATTGTTTTTACAATCTTATCTCTCTCAAACAAAGCAATTTGTCTCATATAATGGCTACTGTTCGAGTGACTATATTGCTACGTCAGGAGTTCCTCAGGGATCGAACCTGGGCCCACTTTTATTTCTATTATTCATTAACGATCTAGATAATATCCTTAAGTGTTGTAGACTATTTTTTGCCGATGACTTAAAAATATTTTTGCGTATATCGGATGGGACGGATTGTAATTTCTTGCAGACTCAGATTGATCGCGTTGTGGAATGGTGTGGTGAGCACAAACTAAAGTTAAATGTTGATAAGTGTAAGGTAGTGACATTTTCCAGGAAAAAGAATGTATAGTATTTTAATTTAACGACTTAGTGTAATTAAAGACCTTGGAGTTTATTTTGATTCGTCCCTTTCATTTAGTGATCATATTATAACCAAGGTACGTGAGACTCTTAAATTTTACGGCTTTACAGTTCGCAACTGTACGTCTTTTACTGACCCAAATGCATTTTTAATATTATACTCAGCATACATTAGAACTAAACTGGAATATGCTTCATTGATTTGGTACCCTGTATATACCTGTTACAGGCAGCTTATTGAAAGAGTACAGAGAAGATTTTTAAAATTTGTCACATATAAAGTTAGCGGAGTGTATCCTGAAAGGGGCATTCCTTACATTAATTTAATTAACACCTTTAAGTTGCAAACTCTCGATTTGAGAAGAAAGTGTGCATCAATAGTCTTTCTGTATAAGCTGTTGCATAATGGAATAGATAGTTCTGAGCTTGTTGCACATATAGATTATTTAGTTCCTTCTATGTCAACTAGATCGCATAGAACATTTTATTGTGCTCGAGCCAGAACTAATTTGTTCCTTAAATCTCCAGTTTATGTCATGTGTAGCAATTATAACGTAATATCTGATAAATGGGATATTTTCTATGATAATTTGAGTCACATAATTGCTTTAGCTGATAATATGCTGCTCAGCGATGTGATTTGAGTTTTTGTTTCTTTATATAATGTTTTGTTCTTATATTTTGTTTATGCTTGGGTTTTTTTCTTTTTTTTGTTCATCTGTACTTGGTATCTGATGGATTGTATCATACACCTTTCAGTGCTTTTTTACTCCTGTTAATTTTTAAGATTTAATTTACATTGAATGTAATTTTTTTTCCTTTATTGTTTATTTAGAGGTTAATTTACTACTAATTTATAGCTATATACATATTGTAAAATTGTCCTATAATTGGTTTGTTACTGTTGGGCAATAAAGATTTATTATTATTATTATTATTATTATAACACATATACCTGGGCATGCGAGGGTTTGGGTCTTAAGCTGAACATTGACAAAACTAAAATTATGTGCACTCCCCCGGAAGATCACAACAATGCTAAAAAAATCGTAGAAGAACTATTGGAATATGTAGCGGCATTCAATTATCTCGGCAGTTTGATTTCGGAAAAGACCAATATCGACTCTGAAATTCAGCACAGGACTAGCAGCGCCTCAAGAGCATTCTGGAAATTAAAAGACAGGGTTTTCTACAATCATGACTTGAGCACAAAAACGAAACTTGCAGTGTACCGAGAAATAATAATTCCCATCATGTTATCTGGGAGCGAAACCTGGGTGTCGTACATCCGGTACACATGAAGGCATTAAACAAGTTGCAACAGAGTTACCTTAGACAACTCTTAAGAATCAATCAATCATGGTTTTATCATGTCTCAAACGTATCGGGCTTTTCAGGCACAGAAGTCACATGAAAGAAAGCCCGTGACCATTTTCTGATTCGTGTCAACTCGTCAGTGAGCAACGGCAGTATGTATGTGTGTTTTCTCTCTCTCTCTCTCTCTCTGTCTTTATTCCTACAAGAGGAATGTAGTGGTCAGGTGATGTGTGAGGTTTGTCTCCATAATTCCCTGTCTTGTGCTTCATGTACAAGCGTGTGCAGTGGCTTGTGGGTGATCTTTAATAGCTGGTCTATCCATCGGGAGAGCGAGCGGCCTCTTGGTCTTCTTCCCGGAACCTTGCCCTGTATAATGAGCTCTTTTCCATACAGTCAGTATCCCTCCTCATAACGTGACCGAAATATTTAAGTATACGTGACTGTATAGAAGTTGAGAGGCGTTCTGTGATGTTCAGTTCTTGGATTATGGATTCATTGGTTCGCCGGGCAGTCCAGGGAATTCTGAGCATTCGTCGCCAACAGTACATCTCAGCTGCGTCAATTTTTTTCATTTCTGACTGTCTCATCGTCCAGGACTCGGAGCCATGCATTAATATAGGAAATATTAGGCAGTGAACAAGCCTTTTTTTAAGTGTTTAGATATGTTTTTGTCTCGCCATATCTTTGAGAGTTTTCGCACTGCCACTCTTGTCATTTCACATCTTCTTCTTATTTCCCCTTCTAACGATCCCGTGTTGTTTATGAGTGACCCAAGATATATATATTGACTTACAACCTCAAAACGACCAATGCTCACTACATCAGGTTTGTTGTTGTTTTGCCTGTCGATAATCATAATATTTGTTTTAGAGGGATTAATTTCAAGTCCAAGTTTCTCGCTTTCGTCTTCAACCAATTCTTCTAAAATTGGTTGAGTAACTCTTCTTCGTTTCCTGCTAGAAGGACCGTATCGTCTGCAAATCTGAGGTTGGTAATTTTGTGACCATTAATTGTTGTCCCCCCTTGCCAATGTTCCAATGCCCGTCTCATGATATATTCAGTATATATATTGAATAACTGAGGAGATAGTATGCACCCCTGCCTAACACCACAGGTAGGCTGGAAGTCTTCCGAAGTAACGCCATTGATGGTAATTCTACTTTTGCTATTTACATAGAGATTCTGGATCAATGAAATCAAATGAAGAGGCACGCCCATTTCTTTAAGAACCATCCATAGTTTTGACAATTTGACTTTGTCAAAAGCTTTTTGGATAGTCTATGAAAGAAATATACAGCGGATTGTTAAATTCTCGGGCCTTTTCGATAATCTGACGGACATTCAAAATGTGTATGTGTGTTTTAGAGCAGGAGAAATGGGGATTCATAATGTCGATTTTGTCTCTAATGCATGATTACATGGATACATTATACTCTTTTCTAAACGTATTATTCAAATACTTTACTCATTTAATTATGTCTCACAAGTTACTATGGTTGTTATTAACAATAAAATAGAAAATATTAATTCAATGCAACACAAATTCCCTGCCCAAACGATATTCGAACTAACTTTTCGTAACGATAGATACCATATATATTTCCACTTATTATTTGTTCAATTTGAAATTTGCAGATACGATAAGGGCAGAAAAGGAAGCGGTAGCGGATTGTCCGGCGTACGCCTGCTGGCCGTCACGCTGAAACAGCTCGCCAACCCTTATCAAATATTAATTTTGCCCATCACGATGTTTATCGGTGCCGAGCAAGCATTCATTGCGGCGGATTTTAATTCGGTAAGTAATAACAACAGAACTAATATAAAAGATTATCCTTATATCATATCTTCGTCGACATAAAGTGGCATTGATTGAAGAAAAAATATGTTTCATTTGTTGTAAAATTACAGTAAGTTGATTACAGTTGGATTACATATAAAACACTAAATCAGCACAATACACCCAAACAACTTTACTTTTACACTGGACGTACGTTTCGCTAACCATGTTAGCATCTTCAGCAAATGATTAAAACTAAACTAGATATTATTCAACAAATTGAGCGTTTTAACACTAACTGGGCGTAACAATGAAAAGAAAATTGAGAACAACTACAGATTACTATTTTTAGGTGTATTAGTTATTAGAAATACTGCTAATTGTCTAGAATTTGATACTATTGAAAAAATACCACTACATGCAGATATATTCCTAATGAGTCATATCATAGTGTTGCCTTGTTTAAATTTCTTAGTTCATAGATTAATTAGTTTTCCTCTTACCAACGAAAGATATAAAATAAAAAGAACTCACATTAGGAATGTAGCTGAGTGTAATGGATATGCGTCTTCATTAGTTGATAAAATAATGAGAAAACGTAGGTATAAGTTTGAGATTTCTGAAAATTCGACTTTTCAAGTGGAGAAAGATACGTCAAAATATTTTTCAATACCGTTTGATAGAGAGTTATCCCTTGGTTTAAAAATAATTTTTTAGAATGTCAATTATAAACTTGTGTATAGTGCTAATAATTAATTACAACAATTATTAGGCGATCCTAAAGATAAAACACCTCCACTGGAAAGGTCGGGTATTTATGAAATTTTGTATAAAAATTGTAATCAGAAATATGTTGAACAAACTAGAAGATCAATATTATCTAGATTTAAAGAACATATTGGCTGAGATAAGATATGGTAGACCGGATAAATCTTACGTTGCCGAACATATTGTTGATAAAGAACGTTGTATGGATATAAATGATCGAAAATGAATTAAACAAGTCTCAAATTAAAGGCAATAAGATTCACATGAGAGCGTCAAAATTATTAAATGTAAAGATAGTATGAGACAATGGCCCACCAATCAGCGAGTATATAAACGCTCAATTTGTAGATATTAGTTTAGTTTTAATCATCTGCTGATGATGCCAGTGTAAAAGTAAAAGTGTTTTAGTGTATTGTGGTGATATAGTGTTTATTTTGCAGTAAGTTGGTGATAACATTTTTGGTCTTTTGTTTAACTTGCAAACCCTGTATTACGCAACCATTTTACCGATAACGACTGCACTGTTCTCCAAGCTCGGCCTACTACATCGGCCTAATAAATCTGTCTGAAAGATAAACAGAAAAAAAAAGCGTTTGATACGATTTTTTTCGCAGCTTTGTTCGCCATCAGGAAAGAGTAGAGAGGAAGTAAAAATTGGAAAGTGTGTTTTTGGTTTGTAATTCTTACTGTAGCTGACAGTTCAATTAAAAAAGCGTCAAAACAATAAACTGAAAGTTGTCAGGGACGAAATAATAAATCAGCCGTGTAGCCTTTTTACTGGATTTCGTTTTACAAGTTTTGCAACAGTAAACTTTTCTGGAGACTTTTGGAAACATCAAAACATATCTGATATACACAGAAAAAAATTGTATGAATAAAAAATATTGTTTTTGTTAAAACCTATCCTCCAATGGTCTAAGAAACTCGAAAAAAAATATCAGCACTTATGACAGGGAAAAACCAAAGATTTTCGTTGATTTAAGTAAAAACAATTTTCGAATTGTCACGGGGTTTCTAACAGGACACTGCCTCCTCAACGAACACCTCAGTAAGCTGAGAAACAACGGTGAATGCAGATTCTGTGGGAAAAATGGGGAAACACCAGAACACCTTATCATTGAGTGCGCCGAGACGACGACCGTTCGTGCCATGAACTTTGGTAGGGCTGATGTCAAGGATGGAGAGCTGGCCTCTGTAGAGCCGTCTCAGATACTGGCTTTTGTTAAAGCCCTGAGACTGTATGATGAGTTATAACTCGTTATAACTGAAGAAAGGGGAACACACAGTAAATCTGTATGGTCGTTATTTGTCTTGTGCTTGATTTGAGTATTTTTTGCATAGAAAAAAGTTAAAACAATGCAGCCTCTATCTTACAAAGAAACAGAGTTCAGGATTATTATTTCTCTTTGTGTATTGTTTTTATTTATCGGGAGCTGACGCTTAATTCTCTAAAAGAAAAAATCCCCTATAGTTCAGTTCTTGTTTAGGTTCCTCTAGCGATTTTTGCCAGAAAGTTTTTCCGTACTTCTGTTTTTGTGCTTTTCATCGGTTCCCGTAATTTTCTTTTTAAACTAGCCCGATATTTTCATCAATTTTCTTTCTTTCGCAATTACAGCCGTCATACTACGCCCAGCTGAATTCAGAAATGTGCTAAAAGGAAACTAATTGGAATGCCTTTTTTTCGGTTTTCGGATTTCTTGTTTCTTCGTTTGATGTCAAAATTATGAAAACATTGATTTCAGACCGTAATAAACTTGCGGGGTTTATACGCCATTTTATTACAGCTGTTTTTTTTTAAATGTATATATTTTATTATGAATTTATTGGGCAAGTCTACAGTAAGATGAGAGGTATGTTGGAATGCGTCCGCAGCGGTTTTTCGGTGGTAACGCTTGCGAATTGTGAGCTACTGCCTAACCAGGCTGCAAATGGTGCCTTGTGCCTCGTTCGCTTCCCTTTTTTTAGGATCACTGGTTCATCGTTGCTGATTCCTCCTGTATCGACGAAGCCGGAAGGCAGAAACACTGAGTGTCTACAGGTAGTCATGTTTTAGTCATGTTTCATGGCTAATCTTACTGTAGACTTGCCCAATAAATTCTTTCTTCTTTTTTATTTGATTAATTATTATGCAAAATAATTACTGTATATTAAATATATTTTGTTTCTTTTTAGGCCTTTGTCTCCTGCGGTTGGGGCATTAGCAACATAGGCTTCGTCATGATCTGTTTCGGCGTTTGTAACGGCCTGGCCGCCATATTTATCGGAGGAATTATCAAGATTACCGGACGGACACCGGTCATTTGTTTAGCGCTGTCCCTCCACGTGGCCCTTATAGTTACCCTGCTCGTTTGGAGGCCGAGCGAACAAGGAAAGCTCACGTTCTTCGTTATGGCGGGACTGTGGGGATTCTGCGACGCTATATGGCTCGTTCAAATCAATTGTAAGTAGAGAAAATCTTTGATAGAACCTAAATATTAGAATAAAATAATATGACTATTTAAAATTTTCTTTTCGGGAAAAAAACTCATAAAACCTCATATTTCTGGGGTAGAAATATACTAACCATAAAATATTTGCACTTATTTAAGACTCACCCAGTATTAATGTTTGGTAATTTATTTTATTTTTATTTTGTTTTGGGGATTGCAACACTCTGGCACTTTGTTTTTGTATCAGTATTTTAGTCACTCACAATTTTATTAATAACTTATATAATATAATGAAAAAATTGAATTTGAATATTTAAGGCTCGCCATTTCAAAACTAGGTTTAACACACAATTGATCACAATTTGCCTTCTTTACAGGAATCTAGTGGAATAATTATATCTGCTTGTAAAATGTAGCTTCTGTTTCGGACCCTGTAAAATCGGTCAAAAGCTCTTTGACATACTTCTCTGACAATCATCTTTTATCTTTGTAGCTTTGTACGGCATCCTGTTTCCGGGAAAAGAGGAAGCGTCCTACAGTAACTTCCGGCTGTGGGAGTCCACCGGATCGGTGATCACCTACGCCTACAGCCCCTACTTGTGCATAGACGTCAAACTGTACTTGTTACTCGCCTTGTTGATCATCGGCGCTGCGGGCTACACCAGCGTCGAAGTCATCGAGTGGAAGGGAAAGCAGCGACAAAAGAACGGCGGAAAGGGCGGGAAGAGGGAGTTTAAATTGGTGAAGGACATGGAGAAGTCCGGTGAGGTCGCTGAATAAAAGACAAAGGAGAGTGGATGTAATTAAAGATGTTTTGTATGTATAAAGCATTCCAGTCTGTCCTTGAATGTTCAAAATGTGTTTTATGAGTATGTATAACGACTTGGCTACTTAATTAGACATCCTGGAGCCTTTGGAATAGATATAAATATAGCTGACGCTGTTTGGTTCCCTTTTTTTAAATTAGATAGTCAAATAACAACATTAGGTCTGTAAAAGAAAACCTAAAATAGAAGGATTTTTCCTCATGTCGTTTAGCTTTCCTGAGATAACTTTAGAGTCGATCCTACAACATCTGTGCCAATTATTGGTTCCAGTGTTGGAACCAACGTTGGATGCATCGTGTAGGACCAGCTTTAGTCATATTTTATTTGGATCAATAAATACAGTGTTAGCAAATGAATACAATATGGATGTAAAAATTTAGTTTATATTTGGTTATGTTTTTTCCGTTCCAAGAACACTCTTTTTGAAACTATACTTTTCATGCTGTATGAGATTAATGTGTGCTGAGGAGATTAATGTTTTAACAAAGATTTCAAGTACCTCAGTAATGAACGTCAATAAATCAGCTCTCGTTCAATAAAGAAAATTATTTAAGCCTGAAGAAAAATTATATTTCTACGCCTACTGAAGTGGCGTCTTTATTCGATCATACAGGGTAGCCCATCGAAAGGGGTCAAGTGGTACCGCATTGAAAAGGGCTTTCTATTCTCTACACTTTCCCGCTTCGTTTTTGAAAATCGGTCGGGCCATTGAGAAAATATGAAGGATTGAAATTTGAAAAGTTTATTTAAACATTTATCAGAGTAAATGATAAGGATAAATTCCTTCGACAAATTTGATGTTTTTTCTTATTATTTCTAGATGTTTACGCATTTTTTCACTTGCCACAGGGATGAACGATTGGGTTAGGTAGAGTGTACTTTCTTTTTGAAAGGTGTAGTTAATCGGCACAACTGTCGTTACTGGGCTGAGGACAACCCCAGGGTTTTTCACGAGGTGCACACACAAAATCCTAAGAAATTGAACGTGTGGGCTGGTATTTTTAGAAATTCTATTGTGAGTCCTGGAAATCTAACAGGTGATATGTACTTGGATTTACTGGAAAATACCATCGACCCAGCCCTAACTGACATCATAGAGAACAATCCTGGATACGTTGAAGCGGAACTAATATTTCAACAAGACGGTGCACCTCCACATTACTCTCAAAATGTGCGTAATTATTTAAACAATAACTTTCCCGTTCGGTGGATAAGACGAAGGGGTGCAATTGAGTAGCCTCCCCAGACACCCGACTTGACTCCTTTAAACTTTTTTCTATGGGGAAACATAAAAAGTAAAGTGTATAGCACTCCACTCGCCTCATTAGAAGACCTGCGAAGACGAATTATTGATGTTTGTTGCGAAGTGACCCCGCAAGTTCTTCAGAATGTTCTAGAACGGGTTGAAAATAATTTGTATTACTGTATGGAGGTTGAGGGGCAACATTTTCAGCATTTTCTTCATTAATAAGATAAGTTTTTTTTAATTAATTCAATTTTTTTTGCGTTTTTTGCAAAAAAGTACTTTTCAAATTTCAGTCTTTCATATTTTCTCAATGCCTCGACCGATTTTCAAAAACGAAACGGGGAAATATAGAGAATAGAAAGCTCTTTTCATTGCGGCGCCACTTGTCCCCCCTTCCCATTTGAAAAAAGTTGGGGGATGACAGCCCCGCTTAGAGGGTTGAAAAGTTGTGCCTCTCAAAAGTTGTGCCCCTCACAAACAAAATTGATGTGTTTTTGGATTTTTCGAAAAAAAAAATACCCTGGCTGTTATGCCTTGCGGAACGTTTTCGATGGGCCACCCTGTATAATAGACACTGAGTGCACATCTTTGACTTAACCAGAATATACGACTGCAATATTTTTAAGACTTTTGATATCATTTCAGAAGTTATTTCAATCATAAAAAGAAACTTGTTTAGAATATTTAAAATATTTCGTCTACTCTTGATGTACTTTAGTTAATTTTTTCTAGAAAGCCGCTATCTTTTATTGAATACATTTTTCAACTATTAAATATTTAAATTTAGCATTGTTTTATTTTTAATTTTCTGTAATATATACAGGGCGAGTCTTAAATAAGTACAAATATTTTCAAGGCTGGTAGATCTTGATAAAAGAACCATATTTACTCATCGCCGTTTTTCAAATAAGTTCAAAATAACCGAGTTATTTTGTTTTGTTTAAATTTCCAAAAAAATGATTTATTTGTTTAAATTTTGAGAACCACTGGATCTTTTCTGGAACCTAGGAAACTAAAAAAAAATCCAAATTTCCAAATTTTTTCGGGGTCGAAATATACATACTATTCCTAAAAATATTTGCACTTATTTAAGACTCGCCCTGTATGTATGGTTGTCTGAACTTTATTATTCATCTTAGAAGATTATTTTTAATTCTAGTTTCCAGTAAATATGTATAATTACAAATTATAGTGTTCTAATTAAAATTTTAATGCTTTCAATATTTAATTTTAATATTAATCTGTATTTAAAAATATATGTTAGCAGTTTTTTTTGTTAAGTACTGTCCAATTATATTATTTTCTTCAATCTTGCCATTAGAAATACTAAGTATTTGTGTACTTATAACTTATAACACTAAGATATGATTAAGAAATTGTACGTAAGATTATATTGTGGTTTAAATTTTGTTATATATTCTTACTTTTTTAAGAACCTCATATTTTTATGTCTTTTTTTAATTTTAAAACGTTCTTTTTAGCTAGATATAGTTCGTTTTAATATTATTATTTAATTTCATATTTTATACAATCTTTTTACAGATATTGCATCGAAAACTGTTCCTGATGTGCTAGTTAAAATATTCTATATCAATAGAAATTTTATAAGAATTTAAAATAAGAAGAAAAAATAGAAATGTATAGTATAATTTTTGTTTTAAATCTGTGATAGAAGGATGTTGTGATGTCTAAGATGTATATTAAAAAAACATTTTTTTAAATAAATTATATAATAAATAATATTCTTTTAAACAAATCTGTGGTATTGGTTTGATTATATTTTGTTACCGCCTAGAAATCTCTAACAATTTGATCAACTACTATTTAACAAAAAAACTTTGCATTATATTATAAATATATTAATGTACATCTTTATCGAATATTACATTTGACAATATGTATAGTAAATAGGTTTGTAAATATATCAATATGTCTTTTTAGAGTTAACATGTTTATTAGAGTAACTAGTAATATAGTCTATAAAATGAATAACTTTGAATTTTGACCGTTATTTTTTACCAACATGGCAAATATAAAATCCTTCTGTCAAAAAAGTTACTGATATTCTTTAAATTGAGTGCATGAACGAATCAGATAGGTAACTCTTTTTTCTTTCGTGAAATAGAAAAGGAAAATAATAAAACAAGTGACAGTTCTTCCTCTTCTTGCAAAAATCAACACGAAATGTCATAATTGACAAAAGTAAAATGTCATCAGCTTTTGACATTTCTAAATATTAGACCAATGCCGTCTCTAATAGAACAGCCACGGTCCGAGATTTATGACGTCACGCTAGTTAGATACTACGGATTAATAAATATGTTGTAGAATACATGGAAAACATAATTATTCCTCGTATTTTTGGTTTGTATTTTAAAAATAATATAGTTTACATAAAATATACATAATATACCGTTAATAAATACAATATAATATATACCTATTTATAGTAATAAATACTTTGGCAAATAAACTATGAACCATACAAATGCAGCAAATGCTTTACAATATACAAATAATGAATAGGTGGTACATAAGATAATGGGTAAAATGTAAAATATATTTTAAATTTTGGGGTTTGAAAATCGATCTAATTTAACAAAAAACATTCAATATCTATTAATAGTGATGTATTATTATTTGCATTCACAAAATTTCTTTATATATTATAATGTTTACTGCAATTAATAAACTAATATAAACTTGTCAAAAGATGACCATATATTTTTTTAAATTATTATTCTTAACACAAAAACTATCTACATTGACTATGGAGTACGATTTCAGCCATATTGTAAAACATTTGCTGCATTTGTATGGTTCATAGTTTATCTGCCAAAGTATTTATTACTAGAAATAGGTATGTATATATATTGTATTTACTAACTGTATATTATGTATATTTCATGTAAACTATATCATTTCTAAAATACAAATCACAAATACAAGGAATAATTATGGTTTCCATGTATTCTACAACATATTTATTAATCCGTAGTATCTAACTAGCGTGACGTCATAAATCTCGCTCCGAGGCTGTTCTATTAGAAACGGCATTGCGTCAGCATGGCCGCAAGTTGCTAATCTAATAAAATTAACACTAGAAAAGCCCGCGGGAACTGTCAAATTCAAAGTTATTCGTTTTACAGACTATACCTATAATTAGTAAGAAAAAAATATAGATCTATTTAAATTCAAGATTTAATTAAACCATAAGTGCTTTTTTTATTTTTTTTATTTCACTTTGTAAAAAATTCATACCCCACTATCCCTCGAAATGGACGCACAATAGGCTCTGAAACGTTTCTAAGATATGTGGCACCTGTCACTTTGCCATCAATAAAAACAAGAGGTGTTCGAGCTCGGTGCATTATACCTTTCCATACCATAATGCTTCCCCCTTGAAACGGTACACGGGGTTGAGCTGCATTCAAGCATGCTCGCCTTCCAGATGCTCTCCAGACTAAAGTTCGTCGCGAGTCTGACACTAGGCCTATTCTTGTTTCATCACTAAATATGACGAAATTCCAATTAGGTTCATTTGCTCTCATCTCTTCAGCCCATTGTAGTCGCGCAATTTTGTGCTGTAAATTAAGCTTCGAAACACGTAGAGGCCTCCTTAAATGTAATCCTCTGTCATGGAGTCTTCTTGCTATGGTCTTTCTTGAAACATTTACTCCTTCAAAGCGAGCTAACTCATTTTTAATAGCAGTACTAGAAAGCAGGGGATTGCGTCGTGCAATTAGGGATATTTGACGGTCTTGCACATCAGTAACAACTCTCTTTCTACCTCTTCCAGGCCGGTTTGTAACCTCGTTTAACTCCCTGAATTTTTTTAATATATGCGAAACATCGCTTTGGTTAACTCCTACAATTTCAGCCACTGCAACTTGCTGGTAGCCCTGTTGAGACAGTCTTACTATTCTGACTCTATTAAACTGTGAAATAATGTTTCTAGGCAATTTAAGGCCAAAACAATGGTCAAATTTCTTCTGAAACCCAAGAGACCACAAATCGAAATGTGCATGAATTTGTAATAATATTGGGTCTGAATGACAAACATTGTTTACCATATACATTTTAACAAAAAAATGTTTATTACAGATTATCAAAGCTATGTCTAAAAAAAGATGCTTTAAATTCCTTTCCGAATATTTTTAAACGATATATGCAATAATTTTGGTCATGTGTATATGTTTGCAATAATGCTATAAAAAAAGCTAGAGTTTGTAGAAGACTGATGAACTCCGAAAAGCAGATTTTTGTCAGATAGAATAAACAGATAAAAATAATTCAAAAATATCGGCCGCATCATCAATCATTGTTAGAACTCGTTCGTCTGTCGTAATTATACCGAATATTTAAGAGAAAAGCTGGCCTTGACGAGAAAGCCCGGGCTAAATCGTATCCATAAAAAAACTATTTGTCTTCCACCGTGCCCAGTATCTTTTTCGCGATATATCATTTCGTGGCCCCGCTTATACGCGAATAAATACACCAGAATGGGGGATAGAAAGAAGCGGTATTAAAAGTGCGGTGCGCTGTTAAAGTTTGCCGGGAAACCAATATCTCTTTTTATATGGACACCATTTGTTCTGGCCCTTTTTTGTTTTGGCCTGTCGCCAGATTTTCGTCTCAATTGATATATAATGCTCGGGGAATTTCTAAATAGTATTCAAAAACATGTAAAATAGAATATGTTTTTATAAAAATTTATCAGACATAATTTAACAATAAAATCTGAAAATTTCTGGGATATTTTATTTTCCATTAATTTTTTTTCCTACAAATTTGCTTGCTTATATCGGGAGTTTTTGAAAAGTGATCAGTAGATAATATATGAGAGACCGTCCTCCTCATTATACTCCTCCTCCTCCTCCCACCACCAATTTTACACTTTTCAAATAAGCTTATCCCTTCCCCAAGCAGCATTTGGACGTCGGGACAACGTTGTGTCACGCGACCAAACGTCGGGGCGCAACGTCGGCACAACCTCGTGCCAACCCTAGTTTGCACTAGTTTGGAGAATAATTTTTGGGTCGAAACGACGTTCGATACCGACGTTGGCTAGAAGCTTAATTTAGTACAATCTGCAACGTTGTTTAAAATCCTAATTCACAGAAATACAAAACTAATATAGCGTCTAAGTCGCGTTTTATCCTAAATTGGGATAATTATAGTAAAAATATTATTTTTATGGTTTAGTTAGAGACATATGTCAGATGGCAGTGAAGGAAAACAAAACAAAAGTATTTAAGTGTGGGGGATGTTTGAAGATCATAATTATTGAAACACTTTAACCGACTCTGTAACTCGTTACCCAAGGCAAAAAAGTTAAACGCAAACAACTTTATTGATAAATGTATTGTTTCTACTTTGAAAAATACTAATGGGCCTTAAAATTAAAGAAATTTTAAAAATTTTCTTAAATTTTTTTTTAGTAAAATTTTGCGCAGTCGAAAAAATTGTTCGCAGTCGAAAAAATTGTTTCCACGTGTTTTTTAGGGTCAAATATTTCAAGTTAATGTATTCAAAAAGCAGGAATTGCTATTTTAGGAACGAAACATTTTCTTATTTAACAACATGGCGGCTTTCACTTTGCTGTTTTGGAGATTAAGATGGAGTAGTTCGAGTAGTCGCATACTGGACTAATATAGTCGCAGTTCGGCCTTAACAGGTAGTATACTAGTCGCAAGATTGCCTAATTTAGTCATCCTAGAGTCTAGCTTGTGCCGCCCTCTATAATATAAATAAACGAGGGAGTGGATAAACTATCGGTAATATATGTCGATGTATATTTAAATTTAGTTTTATATGTACCTTTCTTATGTCCCATTTTAATTAAGTTTTTTTTTATAAAAACAAAAACAGCACTGAACTGTCTGACTGAACAGAACAATGAAGTGAAAATTTAAAATTTAAGGTTATGGTTCAATACAGTTGCAAAAAGGTAGTGACTCGACGTCCTACAACGTAAGAATAAGGAAATCTAAACAACGTTGGAATTAGTAAAACAGACGACGTTTGCATAACGTTGGAATAGGTCCTGAAACTGACGTCGGAAAACTCTATATTGTCCAACGTTGTAACTACGTTGTCCGAATCACCTAAAGATCACTTTAGCAAAAAAGGTTACAAGACAACGTTTATTCGACGTCGCAGAAGCTTCTACTTTGCTGTAGTACTAGTCCAACGTCGGCACAACGTTATAAAAACGTTTAAATTTATTTTAATACCCAAGGTAGGGACTAACTATTTTTTGTAACTAATCCAACGTTGTGTTTAGTAAACATGTGGTCGCAAGTCGTGAAAATGCTACTTGGGCGTAGCGACAAAAATAAAAAAATAGAAATAGTGTGCATGATGCCTTTACAAAAATATCTGAAAAAATAAGGATTGACTTCATTAACGTTTAATTAGTATGTCATATTTCATGGTTTCGATATAAATTACATAATAAACTTTACTCTATTGTTGACTCGCCTTGTACATTCATACTGATATACCTTGTATATGATACTGAAATATTCGGATTTATTAAAAAAACATATATTATTAAAATTCAATTTTTATTTTTGACACGACAAAGAATTGCAGTTTCATAAAATAAAAATTATGCGCCTTTCGGATTTTTTAAAAATTTTAGAGGTTACTAGATATTTCGTAATAAACATGTAACAGCTATATTAAAAATATTTCGTGGTGTGCTGTTGCATAATTGACTAATTTCCAAGCATCGAATGGACGAAGGAAGGAAGCGAAGGGACGAAGGAAAGTGAGGAAGTAACGCGAGGAAGGGACGAAGGAGCGAAGTGTGAGTATGGGGCTTTAGTAGTGGGAGGAGGAGGAGGAGTATAATGAGGAGGAGGATCCCTCATATATTATCTACTAGTAGATAATATATATCTACTAGATAAAATTATAATATTTTATATCTACTAAATACTATTATTTATACCTACTAGATAATATTATCTACTAGTAGATAATATATGAGAAACCCTCCTCCTCATTATACTCCTCCTTCTCCTCCCACCACTAATTCTACACTTTTCAAATACGTTTACCCCTACTCCTATATATTTCCAATATATTTTTGTTTCTATTCGAGAACACTTTAGTTTTTTTAAACCAGATACGTCTATAAAAACCGTATTTTAACAGAAGGGCAACGGTTTTGAAAAGATCGAATATGAAACCAAACCTACAAAATAAAACGACAGATAACAATGTTTATGTCACCTATGTATAAACGTTTCTTTAGTTCATACTACTAGTTAATTCTGTATAACTTGGTAAGGAAGCGCGAAACCTAAAAGATTTTTTTATCAAACCCAACCCTTACTATAAAAAATACCCCATGAATTTCAGTATAGTTATTATAGTTAAATAAATAACGAATATAAAATAATAATAACAGCAATAAAACTAAATTTCATATTATATTTTTTATTAAATAAATAAAATTGGTTTAAACTAACTAGTAAATTTGATAGGGTTCTTTCGAAAAACATTTATATAAATGCTCCCAAAAATCGACACTTTCTTTTTGGAAGTTACTAGAAACTTTTAAATTTGTACCTATATACAGATGCTGCAGCGATTTACCGGACACTTTTGGCCATTGCACATTTTGCAATAGATCTTCTTCACACGGGGTTGGATTGCTAAAAATACAAATTTTAAATAATATATTCTTGACAAAATGGCGAAGGTAATATTAATAATTGAAAAATTTAATATCATTTTGCATTAAATATTTTAAAATTTCATTCACCAATATGTCAAGAAATTTTATTAATGAACTTTTTGGTAGGCAAATATGTAACATAAAAAACGTCGTCAATATGAGATTTACCATATTATCTCACACATTTATTTAGTTTTTTTGTCTAAATGAGTTTGTTATGATTTTTGTTAATATCAATTAAATTAATAAAAATTAAAAATACCCAAATTTAGCAAAGTTAGTCCATAATCTCGTAAGTCTCTCCGATACCAGTCTTTCCTCTTTATTTTTGAATGTTGTAGGTGCTATAGTAAGATTCCACAAATACAGAATATCTGTCGCATGTGCAACACCTTTAACTAAAAATAAAGGTATGTGTAAAGTCGATAATTATAAAATTAAGATATTATTACTATCCGGCCTATACTCTGCTTTGAACTTTAACCACCATCTTCCTAAGCTCCCTTCATAATCGTAAACGTAGTGGTACACTGGGATGAATTTTGACATGAGAACTGTAGTTTTCACGATGGGTCTTAAAAACATATCATCTGAAAGAAACTAAAATAGTTGAAGTAAGTAAAAGTCATAAACATACGAAAAATATAGGCGCAGCTTATTAAATACCAGCTGGTCATATAATTTCAGAGAATAGGAATGTGAAAAAGTCTTAAAGTTCTCTAAAAGGCTTACGTCAGATTTTTATACATTTTTATGATAAATTTTTAACAGCAGCTAATAAATCATTTAATGATGTAAATAAGACGAAATTTCTCACATGGGTGGTCAAATTTTATAGTTCTCATGATATCAAACAGCCTCTGAGAAATGTTTTCAACTCAAAATGCCTTTAACTATGTTTGACTACATCATAAAAAAGGGTCTTCAAATACATCAATGTGATATTTGTCTAAAATTTGCAAAAGAATCCGAATCTCTGGATAACTCGAAATTATTTACCCATTTAAAGGCCTTTGATCATGAAAGTGGAAAAATTTGTTCAATTTATTTACAGGCATTTCAATTTATTTACATTTTATTATTTAAATTATTTATATTAAATTTTGATGAGTTTTGCACTGAAGAAAACATTCAGAGGCTGTTTAATATAATGAAAACTATAGAATTTGACCACCCATGTGAGAATTTTCCTCTTATTTACATCATTAAATTATTTATTAGATTGAAAATATTTTATGCATTAAAGTTTACAAAAAATAAAGATTTATATAGTCGAAAAAAGTCCGATAGAACCAATAGAAATGTAACTATTTTGTCACATCTTTAATTAAATTTTGTTAAATAAATTAATTTTTTATACTATAAATATCTTTTTTTTTTCCCTAATCTCCTACGAGCTGATATAATATGACGAGCAATCTATTAAATTAATGTGAGATTATACAGAAAAGTCCACAGACTTCGAGACATAGGAAAATCAAGTCCATTTAGCGTGTGTCCAAATTTTGACAAGTTTTCAAAAATGACAGTTTTGTTTAGACTGACGTTTAATTTCACCTGACTTCTCGGTGAATGATTTCTTTTTATGGGGGTACATAAAATCTAAAATTTACGGCCATGAAGAAATTCAAAACTTGGAGCAGTTAAGGCAGAAAATATTTAATGCCTTTGACACTGTCACCCCTGATATGTTATCCAATGTGAGGAGGGGATTTTATGATCGTTTGGGTTATTGTTTAATGCAAGAGGGAGGCACTTTTGAACAATTTTTGTAATTTTTTAAATTTCATTATCCTGTTTTTTTACCGTTTACCCATTACCTACCTTGACGAACATGGGAAAACGAAGGTCCTTTTCAGGACCACAAATATTTTGATTGAGAAAATTGGTAACTTTTTTTTGGATTAAAAAACAAAAGTTGTTAATATAATACCAATTTAAAAGTGTTTTAGTAGTTTTAATACACACTATGATATAAAATTTATTATTATTATAATGTACATTATTAATACTATTGTTCATTCGAAATGGCATTAAGGCCCAATTGCAACAATGATTTAAATTTTTCTTAAAGATAAGTAGAGCTTAGAATGAGCTGTATTTATATTTACTTTAATATTCACCTTAAATGAGGGAATTTGACTGATACAATTTTTGAATTTGAATTGTTTTTAATGATACTAACAATTTTAGTTCAATTTTTAATAAAATTTATTTAATATTACTAGAAATCCAAGAGATTTGAAACCTCTTTTAGCGATTTATAACATTCTCAAATGAATTACAGGTGCCCTTATTTTCTATGAAAATCACACAGCTTTTTTCATAGTCGCTGCAGTTGCTATAGCTATAAAAAACTAATTTTTTAAGGTGTGAAAATTGCGACACACACTAAATGGACTTGATTTTTCGTACGTCTCGAAGTCTGTGGACCTTTTTGTATGCCTCGATAACATATTGGTGCAGATTATTTTCACCCTATAACTATAGATTAAAAAAAAACTATACATTGATGCGGATTGTCTATGAACTCTTTCTGAAGGTCACAGAAACCTGAACGCGTAATTCGATGTTCTTTCGCATCTGTTATAGGTAATTTGTGAAAATACAAGCACTTAATTACCTTATTTTTCTAACACGGTATCACTAGCCCTCTTGATTATGAACATTCTAATAAAAAAATCATATAGAAAAGACTATTTTATTCAAAATATCGACAATGAACCAGAAAACCATAATACTAGGTGTATTAATATCTAATAATTAAGATACCAATGACGGTGGATACGAAACGACACTTCAGTGAATTCATGGTATCGCAGAATATCTAGCTACGCGTAGCTAGATATAACACACTTGAGAATAATTTCCAGCAATTTCTTATAGTCTCTTTAGTTATAAATATTTTTTTTCGCAGCCCCTACGGCTGATATTTTCCGAGATACAGCCGAGAGCTATTCTTAGTGGGACACCCGGTACTTAAATTGAATTCTGGTTGTCTTGACTTGAGGGTAATTATATTGATTTAAGCAATTTAAGTCATTTTACTGACTTAACTTGCAGACTATCATGATTTAAGTCAAAAATATAGACTTAAGTCATAAAAACGACTTAAATAACGATTTTGACTTTAGAAATTACTCAAGATTTTAAACTAAAGTCTTTTTAAAACTGACTTGTTGTAGCTCTGCAATTTCTAAATACCTTTGTGAATTCTTCATCTGTTCCTGCAATGAAACCTTTCGATTTGAAGTAATATTGTGCTATTTTTGTTCCTATATACCTCCTGTCTTTATAAGACTTTACATTCATGGTATCTCGTACCAAAGAACTCGGACTAACATCGAACAGAAAGAAAAACGGCTTTGCGGCTTCAATTACTGAAAATATTAAAAAAAACAGGGTAAATGTCAAGGTTAATAAGCTAATTACATAACACCAAAGCCCCGAGTAGTATCATAGTATAAGGAAACTAGTAGCTTTACTCCTTGTCAAATCCTTTGTTCTTTTTCTGCCACTTTATATGACCTTGTTCTCGCATCCCGTGACCACTGACGTAGATGTATAGTCGTGGTCTATAACTAGGCAAAGTATAGTCGTGGCACTCGCCATAGTTTCACAAAGATGTATTTTAGGAAAATATGAGTTCACAATAATTGATCATCGAGTAAAAATTTGCTTGAAAACAGAATATTTTCACATATCGTGTAAGTAACAATTCTTCTGTATCTGAAAATCTTCTGATTGGAAGAAATGCGGAAAAAATATGACATATACAGGGTGAGTTTCCTACGATGTTCTCTATGGGTATCTTGGAAACTACTGAAGATAGAGACTCGGTTAAATGGGGAAAGAATTGCAGTTTTGTGGGGTCATAAATATGCGCCTTTCAGATTTTTGAAAAAGTTCATGGTTTACTAGATATTTCGAAAAAAAAAATTTTGGCTATTTTAAAAATTGTCCCTAATTCCATTATAAGCTATTTTAGACAAAAAGTTTTCAGATGAAAGTTGTAGATAATCACATCCTTAATGAGATTATATCCTCCGTTTTTTTCTAAAGCCTGTCATTTTTGAGATATGACACAAACATATGTTTTTTTTAATGGAAACTATAGTTGGCCATGACTTCAAAAAAAGCGCCATTTTTCAAGCTTTTCGGCGATATAAGCTGTAATATGTTTTTTCGAAAAATTACTGAGTTATAGCCAATTCTTATAATTTTTAAACAATTTCACTTAGTTAGCCATGGAAACAAGTTCAATCATTTTTGCTCTCAGAAATGTAAAACTGTCACATCCAAACTTTGTAAATTAAAATAAACAAAAATTGTAAATATGAATTTTTCAAATGAAGAAAAGCGTGTAGAATTTATTGGTTCAACTTTTCTTGGCCACACATTTTCGAGGATACGTTCATCGGTGAAAGTTACGTTCTTTAGAGAACGGTTTTTAAGACATATGTTAGAAAAGCTAAATTTATTTATAGCCAATTCTTAATGTTGAGTTGCATCTTTTAAAAGTAAATTACTACCTAGTCTCACAGAAGGACCGGTCGACTTAATTAAACTTCTCTCGTACCGCCACAACGATTGTCTCTCTTAATTCATAAGTTTTTTGTAAACCTTATTGTTAACCATACTCCATACAAAAATCTAAAAATGATAAGTCATGTGATCGAGGAGTCCCATGCAATTGGTCCACCTCTTCCTATCCCTGCATTATTATGATACAAATAATTTTTAACATTTCTTTCATTATGGGGGGGGGGAGGTATAATGAAAGTCATGTTGGAACCACTCTATTGATGCACGAGTATCTACATGCCCTTCTTAACTTGAAAAATTCATATTTACAATTTTTGTTTATTTTAATTTACAAAGTTTGGATGTGACAGCTTCACATTTCTGAGAGCAAAGATGATTGAACTTGTTTCCATGGCTAACTAAGTGAAATTGTTTAAAAATTATAAGAATTGGCTATAACTCAGTAATTTTTCGAAAAAAAAGATATTATAGCTTATATCGCTGAAAAGCTTGAAAAATGGCGCTTTTTATGAAGTCATGGCCAACTATGCTTTCCATTTAAAAAAACATAAGTTTGTGTTATATGTCAAAAATGACAGGCTTTAAAAAAAAAACGGAGAACACAGTCTCATTAAGGATGTGATTATCTACAAATTTTATCTGAAAACTTTTTGTCTAAAATAGATTATAATGGAATTAGGGACAATTTTTAAAATAGCCGAAATTTGTTTTGTTCGAAATATCTAGTAAGCCATGAACTTTTTCAAAAATCTGAAAGGCGCATATTTATGACCCCACAAAACTGCAATTCTTTCCCCATTTAACCGACTCTCTATCTCCAGTAGTTTCCGAGATACCCATAGAGAACATCGTAGGAAACTCACCCTGTATAATGACATATTTTTATATTATTATTTATTTCAAACTTTAACAATTAGTTAACAATTTTTTTTTAATTTAAAACAAGTTTATTAATTTTAACATTAATGTGTTTGTTTTGTATTAATATATTAGTTAGGTGATTTTCATTGGATAACTAATACATTGAACAACACATTGTACTAAATAATAAAATAACATAGGTATATAAACTTCAATAGTTGCTAATAAACATTACAGAAATTTCAAAAGAGAAAAGAAGCAAAAACAATAAGAAATAGCATCACTACTTTCTCACGTAATAGAAGAATAATTTTTTACTTATTGTTACCGAGTCCCAAAGGTGCCGAAAGAACCGGAAATTAATAACTTCAAGTCCGGTTCTTTGATATCTCAAAAGAACCGGGAATTTCCGGTTCTGAACCCTAGTTACCATATTATCAAGAAATTATGTTTTTAACTAAAAACAAAAACAATTTCCAGATTTTTTTTCCAAAAAAATTGCGCAGAAAAATCCTCATATTTCTGGGACCAAAATATGCTATCCCTAAAAATATTTGCACTTATTTAAGACTCCCCTGTATAGGGCGATTCACGGTTATGGTACGTTATAGCGTTTCCGGGACTGGAGTTGTTTTTCGTAACCGGTTATTTCGGTACCATACCTCTAAGGAACCGGGATTTCCACTTTTTTTTCGGTACTTTTGGTACTAGCAAAGTTTTGTTCAATGAAGGTACAGTTTGTTAAACAGCAAGCAAGGGAGGGATGGTTCTCAAAAGTAAAATCAATGAAAGATTGAGGTTTAAATGAAAATAATATCAAATTATTAAGTAGTTAAGAAAATTAATCTGAACACAAACATGATTACAAATGACTGCAAAATAAAAACACTAAATCACCACAATACACCAAAACACTTTTATTTTACACTGGACGCACGTTTCGCTAACCATGTTAGCATCATCGGCAGATGATTATAAACTAAAGTACAATCTACAAGTTGAGCGTTTATATACTCGCTCAGTGGGCACCGAGTGGGCGTGGCAAAATCTAGCCAACCGAGTCAGAGCCCACTGAGCGTAACAGTTAGATTTCCGCCACTAGAGTAGTAGGAACAAAGAACTTGAAGGAATTGGACCGTTGACTCTGTTCATACTATCTTTACATTGGTTGGCTAGATTTTGCCACGCCCACTCGGTGCCCACTGAGCGAGTATATAAACGCTCAACTTGTAGATTGTACTTTAGTTTATAATCATCTGCTGATGATGCTAACATGGTTAGCGAAACGTGCGTCCAGTGTAAAATAAAAGTGTTTTGGTGTATTGGGGTGATTTAGTGTTTTTATTTTGCTGTGTAACAGCAAAGGTTCCAACCCTCAACTGTAATCTACAAATGACGCTCAAAAAAAACTCAAAGCACAATTTTACGCAACGCTCGAACCTCGCGACGGAACTCAGCTGAAACGCTCTGCAATCTGCCGATATTCGGCAGATTGTAAAAACTGGCAGAAAATATTTGCGAGAGTGCAACTACTCTTTTCCTTCTACTATGGTATTATTACACAGGTTGATAAGACTTAAGTATGTTTGTATGTAAATAGGAGCAGTTTACCGGAAGTGAGAAGTTTTCCTTCCTGCGAGTTTACGCCGATAATTACAGGTACTCTGGCAAAGTCTCCTGTTTTCAAAGCTCTTAAACTGTCTTTCGTGATGAAAGCTCCGTCGTAATTGGGCTCGATTACTGGTCCAAAGGGGCCGCCGTAGAAGAAGGACTCTAGGAAATTCTGAAAAGGAAAATAAAACACTATAATTGTTTAAGGGTCGGTTTTCAAAGCAAGTATGTACTGTATGTACCACAAAAAACAAATTCATGGAATAACACAAAATATCTGTTTAACAAGTAGCGTATAAATCTATTATCAGTATAAATTTAGAGAATTACTACAAATCAGAAATTACGTTAATCAAATTTCTAAATTACAAAATTTTAATTTTATACGCACTAGATTATACAGGGTGTCCCAGAAATAAGTCCAGGTATTTTAACTGATAGTATAGCTCAACCCTAGAAAAACGCCTAGGATGAATTTTTCTCGAAAAAAAAAATTTAAAATTCCAAATTTTTTGGAATTTTTTTTTTAGTTTTTAGTTAAAAAATTTACAAAAAAGGAAACCCAGAAAAGATCCAGTGGTTCTCAGAATTTTAGCAAAAAATCATTTTTCTTTTGGAAATTTTCAAAGTAAAATAACTCCGTTATTTTCAACTTATTTGAAAAACGACAAAGAAACACCCCTTAAAATACTTGCACTTATTTCTGGGACACCCTGTATAGTTACTGAAAGCACAGAATAAGCTAGATATTCTGTGCTGCAAGTCTCTGAAAATATACAGGGTGGGTCTTAAATAGGTTCCAATATTTTTTGGTGTAGTATATTTCGACGCCAGAAACATGATTATGAGGTTTTTTGCGAAAATTTTTTTTAAAAATTTGGAGATTTTTGAGAAAAAAATTGGATTTTTTTTTATTTTAGAGTTAACTTTTAGCTTAGATAATCTAAGGTTTTTATCAAGAATAAAAATGTTACAGTTAATATCAAATTTCTAAAGATTTTTATTGCAATCTTTGTTTAAAAATAATATGCGGGCAAAAGCAGCAAACATTAAAAGAATTTCCTAGATATACAGAGTAATTCAAACATATCTTTATACAAATGAACATTTTTAATGGATTTGCTATAAAGTTCCCATTCCAAAATAATCAGAATATCATAAATTATACGGGGTGTTTCTAAAAAGTGGCTCACCCCTATAACTTTTTTTTTATTTTTTCAGATAAAAAAACGAGATTTTGTATGTTAGTATATGACATAAATTAGGATTTATTGACATATTCAATTGTTTTCGATCACTTCCTGTTTCACCGGAAATTACACCCTTTAAATGACACTCTCGGTATTTTACTACAACCAAATAATGGTTTCCAAATATGCTAATTGGCCACCCTCGTTCCATTTGAAAAAATCGCGATATGATTAAAAATACGATTTAACCTACCAAGACAAGACACGAAAAACATTAGACGATCAAATCTATTTTCCCAAGGCTTTTTGAATAAAAATAAACGCTTTTAATACAGCCGAAAATGTAAAAAAGCTAGGAAAAAATGTCAAAAGTTGACATATCATATGTCATTCCATTCAGAATGTCATTTTCTATCGAATAAACTAAAAAATATCGAGAATGCCATTTAAAAATCAAAAATTGTAGTCATTTCTGATAAAACAAGAAGTGACCGAAAACAATTAACACGCTAGTCAATCCTAATTTACGTAATAAACTTAATTTTTTACACAGTTAAAACTCTAAAACTTTAAAAAAAAATTTTAAAATTGCAAATTATTGATGCTTTACAACAAGAAATTAGTAAAATGTCAACATTATTTCCGATTTTACAAAAACGCACCTTCAGAAACAAAATATGCCAGTGTCTCTGTTAAAAACAAACAATTTCAAAAAAAGGTTTGGTTTGGTACTTTGAATAAGAAGACTAAGGAAGAAGCATAATGCTATCCATGTATTCATGCATGGTGGGCGGAAAAAGCACCATAAAAGCACTCTAGGGTGGGGATCCTTGACAGTTCCGTTTGACGATTCATTTGACACATTTGAATTTGATTTGAAATTTTGTGGATTTGTCACTCTTTACGGAGCTTATTTTATGTTATTTATTATTTATTCTACTACCGATAGTTGTATAAAGGTAGTAAATCTAGATGGAAATTGTGGCAGAACTTAAATTAACAGTGACACTATCGCGATTTATCGAAAAAGACTCTAAAATAGTTGGTTGTGTAGCGTGCGGTAGATCTCCGCAAAAATTGAGTGAAATAATTGAACAACTTTTCGCTAGTAAGTGACTATATAATATACATACGTGTAATAAACCGATCATTTATGAAATTCACTTAAATTAACTAAATTATATATTTTCTTGCATTTTAGCTTTTATTTACTACTTGTCAAAGATCAGATGTCAAAGAATTTTGATGCGTTAATTTGACTTACCTGCTTCAGTAGCGTATCGGATGTTTGTGTTAATAAATACTTATTATAACTTATCTATTTTTATTAGAATTATATATTTTTATAACAATTTTAATAACTACCAACATTTATTCACAACGTAAAATAAAATAACAAATTATTGAGTTTACCCCACGTCTACCCTACATCATAGTTTTAAATTTTTTAAATAAAATTAGAACGGCACTGATAAAGCGGAATTTAAGTCGGCCATATTTGAGGCCCATCGCGGTGTACCTAAGATTTTTGATATGCTCTTTCCTTAGTCTTCTTATTCGAAGGTTTGGTACTATTTTTGTGAAAGTGACTTTTTACATAATAAAAAATTTACCTTTTTTGAAAAGGTATTTTCAGTGACAAATTTCAATTATAATAATTATTTAATTTAATATAACAGAAAACTAAACTCACTACTGTATAGAGTGTTTTTATCACTTGGTCCGATTTCGATAAATCAGCTTGTCTTAAAAACTTAACCAAGCTGGTACTGTTTTTCGTGTTGAATCCCAAAGCATTTCCAAGATCGAATGCTACCTGAAAGAGAACAAAGGAGCTGTATCAAAATTTACGAAAATAATTCTTATTTATAATTAGGTATTCATCAAAAAAATATCAAGGCTATCTTTAGAACTCGATTATCAACTTTAAGATACTTAGCTTATAATAAGATGATGATCAAACCATATATTTTTAATAATATTGACGACATATTACAATAAACAATATCTTACAAATTATACCCAGACTTATTAGTCTTTAATTTTACTTCCTATTTTTGTTTTTTTTAATTAAAAGCACTTGCAAATGACTAACTAGTAAAGAAAACATAAGCATCATTAAATATATACATATATATCATCAATTTAGAATTAATAATGCAAATTTAATAGATACAGGGCGCTCTAAAAATTATTTAGATTTTCATCAATATTATATTTTTAGTGTGAAATTATAATTACACTCAGATAAAGAAAAAAAAACGCAACAGAGAAATATTTGGTCAGATTTAAAGCGTTATATTTTTGTTATTTTTAGCTCCATTTTCATGAATATTTTAGCAAGCTGTAATATAATGAGGAAGATGCATATATTTTATTTTTCGCCAGAAACTGTTCAGTTTATTAGAATAAATATGTATAAATGCAAAAAAAAAACTTTTTTCTTGAAAGTAGTACCACAATTTTATAAAACGGGCCATTAAAATACTATGGATAAAGCAAACGACGCATCGCGAATTGAAACGATATTCTATTGGTCTGACGTCACCCGCCGTTCTCGTCGACGCGCGATGGCCAGCAGCAGCCAGACGTGTTCCATTTATGTACGTATTTAGGTGGCGTATTAAGACATTTTTGTTGCTTTTAGCGTTGATTGAAGGAGCTTTTTATGTTTTTTTGTGCAGTTATTATTTGTATGTGTTGTGTGTTCTGAGAATTTTTTAAGTAATGGCAGATTCCGAGTTTGTAAAAGCACAATCAGATAACTTGCCAAAAGTCGATGCTTTTATGTTGGCTGCTTTTATAAATACAAATTCCCAATTTATTGGTGCTGAATTACGAGGAAAAAAACAGAGAGGTATGTAACATTTATTCTTTGTAGTACTGACGCATATTTAAGTATAAGTAGGTACATACTGTTACGAACTTTTATATAGTTATAAATTAATGTTATAAACTTATTTTTCAGATCAGGTAGGGAGACGTATGGAGATAATGCTATAGGATATGTAGAAGTGAAAAGAGACAAAAATATTTGTTTAGTACGTGGAAAAATATCTCCAGAGCATAGCGTGAAAAAGAAAGTTTCTTTTAATATATTGACACTCCCTTACCCTTGTTATTTTTAAGATTGTTTTTTTACGAAATTATAGGAAATAAATTGTTTATCAGTAATGAAAATATTATACAAGGTGTCCCATAAGCAAACGCCAAAATTAAGTTACTTATTTAAGTGAAACACGCTATAAATTTTTGGATTATTCGGAAATTTCTAGGTATTCTAGATATATTTCGTGTATAATATCCTATACCTATCTTCAAATGTTTACGAAATATTGACAGTTGAAAAGCGAAAAATACCTACAATTTTCTGGACCACCTTCTTTGAGACACCCTGTATAGAATTAATTTTAAAAGAGAGTATATGAAAAACTATGCAACTTTTTTATTTAATGTTTTCTTCTACTTGCAGTTAAGGCTGTATGTGGGTGTCAAAATATAATGAATAACCCTGTACATTCAAATTTCATATACCTATGTAAGACAATATACATAAATATATGAGCTTACATCAAAATGATCTTCACAACAATAAATCGTAAAAATAGAGGATAATTTAACGTTTTTCTTTTCATCTCTTCTTATGGCCTTGGACCATTTTTTTCTGTTTTCGCTCATCCATTACTATTTATAAATATCACTAATTACTAATTATATATTAATTAACACAAATAACTAAAATTTTGACTCGGATTCAACAGCGTTTAAAAGCAAACTGTGTAAAATAAACACGCGTCTGGCTCCACTCAACGCAGAAGAACGGCGGGTGACGTCACAGCGGCAAGGCGCGGTAGAGAGCGTTTGCCCGGCCATTTAAATTAGCAATATTTAATTATTTTATATTAGAGACATTTCTTAACCGATATCAACGATTTTTTTTGGTTCAATTTGTAATTATATGAACTATTTTTTAAAACTATTATTTAAAAACATGCATTTTCCTCATTATATCACAATTTATTCGTAAACTCAGTTTTTTATAAACTTTAGTATTGGGCATATTGTACAGGGTTAATCGAGGGGTTGTTTTTTACCCTAACTTTAAAACACCCTGTGCAATGATTTCGTGTGCAAATTTTCTTAAAATATAATTTTACAGTCAGAACCATGCCTCCTAAGCATTTTGCTTTTTGGATCATGTCAATACATGCCTTAGTTAATTTTTAAGGTCGAAATGAGCTTGCCACTAACAATTTGCAATTTTTTCAATTATCATTTCTTTTTTGAATTTTAAAATTGTTATTTTTCAATGTGATAAGGCGGCTTTGGTGATTTGGTGATATATTACTGTGAACTGTCCATCATGTTCGACGTTTGGCAAATGCTTGGCAAAAGGGTAAGAGGTCGCGAAGCAATTCATTAAATGAACTTCACTTGAATGGATGGGAAATGAAGAAGAATGGGAAAATATAACGTAATTTGATATATGCAGCCCAGAGTTGTTAAACTATGTAGTAATTAATAAACTACATTTACTACATGTCACAAGTAGTTTTTTAAATGTCGAGTAGTAAATGTGTAGTTTATTTAACTAATGTAGTTTTTTTAAATAACAGTAAAAACATAACCTAAAAACTCTAAAAACTTTCTTTGTTGATCAATTTAACGAAATAAAAAATCTATATTTTATGAATTTGTTCCTTATTATGTAATATTTTTGAGACTTAGTAGTTAAAAATGCTTGGAAGACGTCCATGTCTCCATACCTTCTGGGAAGAGGGGAATTATGAAGTTGTGCCTTTAGATGTAAAAAATTATATATTCTCCTGGAGAATATCTATGGAGAGTTTCTCCATAAGAATTTATAGTTTATTTTGTGTTCAATATTACTTTGTATTTCGTAGAAAATACACTTTTGTTGAAAAAAAATTGTCTTTTTTTCTGATGTTGTTTAACTTATACAAATATAATATAACTTCATACTTCCATGATAAGAATTTGGCTTGATTTTTGTTTAAAATCTAAATTGTTTATGTTTTACTATGTTTATTTTTGTAGGTAGTTTTTGTGTAGTTTTTGAAGGTAGTTTTTAAAATTTTAAAACGTAGTTAATACAAAAAACTACACGTAGTTTTTGGCGTAGTTTTTGCTTCATAAACTACTTAACAACCCTGATGCAGCCTCAGTGACAGTTGACAGTATGAACGGACGTATACAGGCAGTTATAGCAGCCAAGGGCGGCAATACAAAGTATTACGTTATTTTTTACCATTTTTTTCCGTTAGTTTATTTAGGTATTACATATTTTTTTCTATAATATCGTCAGTTCTGTTATTGTTACTAATGTTTATTAAAACCCGGACTGTATTGTTAGTCTTTAACGTTTTATTTTTAATTTAGTATAGAGTATCCAATGCCATTTCTTGACAACCAAAACCATTTCGTCGTATTAAAAATTACATCAAAAAGTAACGATTAATTTAAAATTGTAATTAAAAAATTGCAAATTGATCGTTATCAGTTGATTTTGCTCTTAAAAATTAACAAATTAACAATGTATTGAAAAAGCATGTATTGACATGAATCAAAAAACAAAATGGTCAGGAGTCATGGTTCTGACCGTAAAATTATATTTTAGGAAAATTTACAGACGAAATTATTAAAAGTAAGGGTAGGTACAAAAACAACTTCTCGATTAACCCTGTATAATATGCCAAATACTAAAGTTTATAAAAATCTGAGTTTACAAATTAAAGTTGATATAATTATATTCAGCTTGCTAAAAAAATCATGAAAATAGGGCTAAAAATAACAAAAATATAACACTTTAAATTTGGACAAAACTTTTTCCGTTGCGTTTCATTTTGCATCTCAGTGTAACTTCTACACTTAAAAAGCTAAATAATACCTGTCTTGGATTTCTGTCTAACGCCCAATTACACAGAGGAGTCCCGCTTTGTAATATGGCACCATGAAATAGTCCTTTCGCCTGGTTAGACAGCAAATGAAAGCCTACAGAAGCTGAGCCGGCACTTTCGCCAAAAATAGTAACTTTTCCGGGATCACCGCCGAATTTAACTATGTTTGCTTGAACCCATTTTAAAGCTATAAGTTGATCTTTAAGTCCGTAATTTCCTGGTGAACTCAAATCACTAGTAGACAAGAACCCTAAAAAAATAACCATTATAAAACATGAAAGAATAGCAGAGAAACACAATTTTAGACGAAAAAAGACGACAAATTAAATTTCAACCGTATTTCCTTACTATATATTATACCGTGCTGGCAACTGTTACTTTTGGGTCGGCATTTACATGTGTGGAAGTCAATCGCATAGGGATCTTATTAAGTCGGAGTGAGAGAAATGCGACCGACCGACGCGACGCGCGACGGTGTGCTGTTGCGGCGTTGCCGATACGCCTTTCCTATCAAGTAAAGTAAAATCACGATCGCAAACCGCTTATTTTTAAAAGACTTTTTTTTTCAAGAGATAACTAGATAAAATCATTAGACATGTTTCTGAGCATCTGAAATGGAATTATAAGGATATCGTTAAGGTGTCGTTTTTTTTATAACGAGAAAACGTCAGTAATCGCGATAATATAAAAACTCAACTTTTTAACACATAACAGGCCATAACTCAAGAACCACTTTAGATATTGAAACTTTTTTTAAATTTCCAGGTTGGATATTTTACAATACGTTTACATAAGAAAAATTCGATAATGTTGTTTTTTCCATTCAAAAATTGTAAACAATCCATCCAATTACTTTTAGAGCATAGCAATTTTCAGCAATCGTGTAATTTTTTTATTAATAAAGATTTTCATATACTCTCTACAAAGAAAATACAGCAGAAATATTAACAAAGTTCTTGAAAAAACTACAATCTATTATTTCTAATAGATTTTGAGATATCGATTTTTGAATTCAGAGTTCTAATAGCGCGACCACTATCAAACACCCACTCAATTCCACTTATTTTTACCAAAAATGCAAGTGTTTTTAGCTTGCACTTAAAGAAAATCAAGCTATAGGGCAAATTACAACGGACTCGTTAATAAATAAACAAATTAAGTATCACGAGACGTAATTAAATCGTGAAGCTGAACGCATGACGTACACCTTTCCCTAGAACTTAAAGTACTGACAGAGGTATTGATTGGGTCGACCGGTCAACTGCAACAAATCTGCTATATTCCCTTCCACGTCTCTTAGCGATGTGCACAGTTTCTCGGTTTATTTCATACGTTTGGCAACGTGTTTACTGTCCTCTCTTTGTTCAGTACATTATAAACGCATTGTACTCTTCTTACATACGGAAATCTCGACCCAAGAATAACCTTTGCCAGCCCTTAGTATAAAAATCAGTTCATAACGTTCTTCGCCGTCTTCTGATTTCCAGTCTCCATTGGTCTCTGTCTGTCCCCGTCTATTCCTTCTCTCCACCTCCGTCTAGGTCTCCCTCTCTTTCTTTTACCTTGCGGTGTCCAATTGAGTATTTTCTTTGGGATTCTGCTCCCTTTCATTCTTTGTACGTGCCTGTACCACCTGAGTTGGTTAATTTTGATGTCTTCTGTGCTTAACTCCCATAACGTTCTGAATTTTTTCATTTCTTACTCTATCCAGTTTCAATTTGCCGACCGGGTGCCTCCAAAAGTCCATTTCTGTAGCTGCGAGTAACTGAAGGTTTTTTCTTTCAAATGCTTTTAATTATGCTATTATAAATTTTGTGTTTGTTTTGTTTTGATAGTTAGTACCTGATCCCATAAAATACTGTTGAGTTGTCTAATTGCTTGTCTTCCCTGGTTGTCTCTGTACTCAATTTCAAAGTTCTTGGACAGCCTTAATTAATGTTATGCTGATAGTTTTCTCGAGAGCTTCCCACAATTTAGAATGGGGTACACTATCATACGCTTTCTTGAGGTCTACGTAGAGGAGATATATTTCTTGATTTCTCGCCATCTTTTTCTCAATTATCTGTGTCAGTGTAAATAAATGGTCGACCGTGGATCTACCAGATCTAAATCCCGCTTGTTTTTCAGCCTCCATATCCCGGTATTTTTCCCCAATTCTCTTTTGACCAATTTTTACTTACTTACTCTTAAAGGATAATAAATAAAGAAAAGGTATACAGAGTAAATGAAAAATTCTAAGTAAGTTTTGGCCTCTCAATTTTTAACACTTAATAGCTTAAAACTAACCAATTTACCATAAACTCCAACTCGGTAGTTCAATGTTACTACAATTACGTTCTCTCTTAGTAACAATACTGGACTGTAAAGTGAACTGTTACCCTCTCTAAAATAACCACCATAAAACCATATCATCACTGGTAATCTTTCTTGGATATAGCGTGGATCCTAGAAGTTTAAACTTGTATCGTTAATATTTATTTTGGACAAAACAATATTTTTAATTACTTGTGTGGTGTACACATTGAGATACAAACAATCTTCACTGCCGTGAACATCAAAATCCACTTGGTTCAGTTCAAACTCAATACATGAATGTGATTGTTTTGTGGCATCTAAAATTCCAGTCCATTTGTTGAAAGGTATAGGGTCCTAAAAGTATATAATATACATAGTGAATATTGATTATATATTTGTTTTTTATTGATATTTTTGACATATGATACAAACATATACTGGGTGCGTCTCAAGAGTAGCTCACCCCTATAATTTTTTTATTTCTTTAGATAAAAAAACGAGATATGGTATGTTAATATATGACATAAATTAGGATAGATTGACTTATTCAATTGTCTTTGGTCACTTCCTGTTTCACCGGAAACGGCTACAACTTTTGATTTTTAAATGGCACCCTTGGTATATTTTTACTTTTTTCGTGTCTTGTCCTGGCCGGTTAAAAGATGATCAAATCGTATTTTTAATCATATCTCAATTTTTTCAAATGGAACAAAGGTGTCTCATTAGCTTATTGGGAAAAAGCATTTTTTACGAATAATTTGGTACCACATACTTGGTATTTCGAGTGAAATTGTCGTTATGAACCGCATATTACAATTCCAAATAAAGCCGACATATAGATAAAGACATATGATATGTCATTCTATTCAGAATGTCATCTCTCGTTTCTTTATCTAAAAAAATAAAAAAGTTATAAGGGTGGGCCACTTTTGAGACGTACCCGGTATGTTGTTTTCAATGAAAACCATATAGTTGGTCTTGACTCCATAACAAGCGTCATTTTTTAAGCTTTCCACCAATATACAGATAAAAATTACTGAATTATAGCCAATTCGTATCATTTTTGGCTAATTTCACTTAGTTGGCATGGCATTCTTATTCTATTATGATTTATAACTTATAGAAAAACAGAATATTTTATTAAACAGTTCTTTACAATTAACATTAAACAAATTAAAACTCAAAAAACTAATATTACTCTATTATGAACGGTGTTATTATTATTATTATCGATCATATATGAAAAACAAATCAGGAAATTTGAAAACTAAATGCAAATCATAACATTTAACTTCGATATATTGCATAAAAAATAACACGACATTTTGTTACTTCCTGACATTTTTACTTCCTTTATGCATCCAACACTTATATCAAATGACCAGCTTGTTAATTTGTAATGATTGATTTCAAGATCTTCCTAGATTTTAGTAAACAAAAATATAATTTGAAATCAAGGTTAGCATTTTTAGCAAGTACTATTGACTATATAGTTTGAACAATACTATCTATTTTAGTTTTATATTAATTAATTTATTCTGATCACTGAAAATAATATTATGATATATGTTCTTTTTTAAATGATATCAACTCAACCTTTCATTAAGGTAGTAAATCCTAGTCACTTTATATTTTTTTAATTACATTTGATTTTAACACGCTTTAATAAAATATAAAATTTAATATTATTTTATTAGTTTTTTTATTTTTAGTATTTTTAGTTAGGTTTGTTTTTTATTTTTTAATAAATATTTGTATTTCATTTGCACAAAATAAAGTAAAAGAATACTCTTCCGTCACAACCTGTTTATTTTTGTTGATAATAATTGTTATTTTATTTAAAATAACCATTTTATTATTTATTTTATTGCGCATATTTATATAAAGAAAGGCATCTCTGTAGTCGAAAATACATGACTAAAATTTAATGCCTATTAATGGTAAGTAGAAACAAAGAACTTAACATAATCTACATTCTTTAGTATCTTCCTATTATAAATATTAATTAGCTTAGATTCGTACACGTTTTTTTTTCTTATATTCAACTTGAATTAATAATTAAATTTAAAATGTTTTTGTCTGATGTTGTCTGTTGTTTTGTAAAGTGATAAAATTATTGAAATGTTAGTCAAATTTATTCAGTAAGTTTCTGTATGCATGGTCTGCTCAGCATGAAAATATAATACAATCTCGACAGAAGAAATAATGTAGACAAACCCTGTCATTAATACCTACATTAATTATTATATTATTATTTTGCTAGATAAACAAAACCTTTTATTTAAAGGAGTCTATTTCCTCCTATATTTTTAGGGTTATATTGTTTCTGGTTTCTTTTTGTTTCACCGGAACACACATCTGTTTCCTGTTTCAAATTTTAATGAACAGTGCTTCTCATATAATCAATAAAATAAAAATATACGAAATAATATACATGAACTGATTTCTTTCGAAAATCGACATCTATGAAATTATGAACCCTTCCTGGACACAAACGGTACATTGTGAGACAGAAAATTGTAGAGAGAAACAGGCCCTATAACATAGGATGCAATATTTTAATGAACAGTGCTATCCATAAAATCAATAAAATGAAAAATATACGAAATAATATACATGTACTGATTTCTTTTGAAAATCGACATCTATGAAACTATGAACCATTCCTGGATACAAACGGTACATTGTGAGACAGGAAACTGCAGAGAGAAACAAGCCCTATAACATAGGATACAACATTTTAATGAACAGTGCTTCCCATATAATCAATAAAATGAAAAATATACGAAATAATATACATGTACTGATTTCTTTCGAAAATCGACATCTATGAAACTATGAACCCTTTCTGGACACAAACGGTACATTGTGATACAGAAAATTTTAGAGAGAAACAGGCTCTGTAACATAGGATACAACATTTTAATGAACAGTGCTTCCCATATAATCTAGAGAAAAATAACAGAAAAAATGGCGTGGTCCTTAAATTTTAGTAAAAAATCATTTTTTAGATAATTATTTTCAAAGTAAAATAATTCGTCTACTTTGGGCTTATTTGAAAAACGACAAACAGAAAATATGAATCGGCTCATAAAATATTTGTACTTATTTTAGATTCAACCTATACAGGGTTGTTCACCACATACGACACGGAGCATTGTAGCTAAATGATTAGATTTTTACAATTGTAAGTTTTGGGTTCGTTGAAGGACTATTAGAGCTACAATTTAAAAATATTTTTACAAGATACAGAGTGTGCCAAATATGTAAAAAATATTATAGTTGTATTTTTTTAAATGGAATATCCTATATATTATACAATTTTTAGATTCTACGAATGAAGTAAAGGTAAATTTGATTAAGATTTATCACACTAAACCTTACTGTTTTTGAAATATTTTCAATTTTGTGAAATTGCAGTAAAAAATTTAAGGCTTCATTTCTCCAAGGGTATCAAAGTTTTCAATACTACATATTTACTGAAGATTATTTATTGATCAGATATTGTGTTGCGATAATAAAAATTATACTTTCTTATACAAAGTGTCCAAAAATTTATGTTAAATAATGACTAGCTTTAAACGGCTGTAACTTGTTTAATTTAAATGGAACACCCTGTATATTTTACTTAAATCATATGCACTATTTAATTGTCTATCAAATTATATTATACCGTTTTTTACCTATCTCTTAAGTTTTCGTAGAAAATGCCTTTTCTTATAATTTAGACCTCATTTATCACTATACCCATGGAATATTGACATTTTAGATTATTTTTAAAGATGTAACAAATTTTCAAAGAGTACAGATACTAATATTGTCGATATAGTTCGATCCTAGTATTCAGACTACATTAATTGACTGTTTACGTTGATTAATCAATACTAAAAACTAAAAAAAATCCAAATTCTAAAAAACTGAATTTTGCATGTGCATTAGACAGTATAAATTTTATTTTAATTTTTGACGAATGCTTATTTTTATAACAGAGACGTTCATTTTCGTAACTTATTATTATATCGATTTCTGAGTCAAATCCACATTTATTTAGAATAATTTATTAATTAAAATAGTATGTAATTAACTAATATTTGTGAGGAAATTGTATTTATATAATAGGTATACTCTTTTACAAAGATTTAAATAGTTTTCTGTTTGTAACAAATGGGCTTGCAATATTATTATTTTTGAATAGTATTTGGTACATATGTTACTTTAAAAAAAATCTAAAATGTCAATATTCCATGGGTATAGTGATAAATGAGGTCTAAATTATAAAAAAATGCATTTTCTTTGAAAACTTGAAGAGACAGGTAAAAAATGGATAGTACAATTTGATAGACAATTAAATTGTGCATCTGAATCACGTAAAATATACAGGGTATTCCATTTAAATTAAACAAGTTATTGTCGTTTAAAGTTTAAGTGTGATAAACCTTGATCAAATTTACCTTTATTTTAATCGTAGAATCTAAAAATAGAATAATATACAGGGTATCCCATTTAAAAAAATACAACTATAATGTTTTTTACTTATTTGGGACACTCTGTATCTTTTAAAAATATTTTTAAATTGTAGCTCTAATGGTTCTACAACGAACCCAAAACTTACAATTTGTAAAAATCTAACCGTTTAGCTACAATACTCCGTGTCGTATGTGGTGAACAACCCTGTATAGTCTCATATATTTCCAAGTATATTGCTTAATATACATTTTAATAAAATTAAAAATTTCAATTTAAATTATTATAAACTTACTCTGAACCTTAAATCTCCTACAGGTGGCTGGGCAAATGGTATTCCTTCGAAACTATAATAATTCCTCCCATCGCTCAACCCCTTTACACCCCCTCTCAAAACTCCACTCTGCACTTCGACTTGAACGAACCCCTAAAACATACCATCACTTATAAAATGCACGCCACCAACTGCAATATACCACCCTCAGCCCGTCACGGCTCACAGCACCCACCACCCATCGACATAGAACTATGTAGAGCGGTAGCAGTTCACTTTGGCCTATCAGCATCGCGTTATTTTTCGAGAACCGTCGATTTATCGGACGAGGAAAAACATCGGGAGGCCGATAGAGCGCCAAATAAAACTCGATCATATCGAATTTAACTATATAAAAGCTGTGTGGACTAGGGATGGGCAGAAAACCGTAAACTGCGATTCAATCGCAGAGATTCTAAAATCGCGTTTTCAACCTGCGCTGGCTTTCGTAATAAACTGCGATTTCTTCTATCTTATATGCATGACTCCAAAAAATCTCATTCGCAAAGAAATCTTTTGCTTTTCATAGTAAACTGAATGAAGTAATTCTTTTAGTTTTTCTTTTTTATTTCTCACTTACAGATCTACAGTTGAGGGTTGGAACCTTTGGTGTTACACAGCAAAATAAAAACACTAAATCACCACAATACACCAAAACACTTTTACTTTTATCAGCAGATGATTATAAACTAAGTTTATAATCATCTGCTGATGATGCTAACATGGTTAGCGAAACGCGCGTCCAGTTTAAAACAGCAGATGATTATAAACTTAGTTTATAATCATCTGCTGATGATGCTAACATGGTTAGCGAAACGCGCGTCCAGTGTAAAAGTAAAAGTGTTTTGGTGTATTGTGGTGATTTAGTGTTTTTATTTTACTTACAGATCTATTGTGTGTTCCCCTTTCTTGAGTTATAACGAGTTATAACTCATCATACAACCTCAGGGCTTTAACAAAAGCCACTATCTGAGACGGCTCCACAGAGGCCAGCTCTCCATCCTCCACATCAGCCGTACCAAAGTTCATGGCACGAAGCTGTTCTGGTGCTGCCCCATTTTCCCCACAGAATCCCCTTTTCTAGCTAGATCATTTGCTTTTACATTGCCTTCTATCCCTTGGTGAGCGGACAACCAGAGTAGAAGAACTTTATTTCCTTGACTAATTTGTTTAGCTTCTCTAGGTATTCTTTGACCAACTTTGAATTGATAGTTAATGAGTTGATCGCGTTTAGTGCTGCTTGACTATCGGATAAGATGTGTATTTCCTGTTTTCGATAGTTCCTATCTAAGATAAATTGATAGCCTAGATTTCTGCCTGAAAGAGTCTGGGGTAGGTGCCCACTGATTGGGAGTATTTAGTTTTCGGCCCAAGGAGGTGTTGTAGGTTCTTGGTATGTTATCCACTGGGAGTTGGAGAAGTGGAATTTTCTTTTGAGAGTGTTCCAAGCCCCTGACCTGAAAATTCTCCCAGTACTGTTTCCGTCAATGACCATTCTAATCATTGTCGCATTGGCATAACTACCTACGACAATGTGCAGAGGTGTTAGGTCTAGGATGACCTCCATGACTTTATTTGAAAAAGTGGTAACAAAAATGGTAAGAATAAGGGTTCGCCAAATAACCACAGTGACGCTAATAAAGCATATATCTAAAAAATGAAAAGAATGAAAAAATTAAAAGAAAAAAATAAATAAAAGAACAAAAGTAACATAACCAAACATGACCCAAAAAAAAGTTGTTTTAGAATATAAAACAGTTATTTTTATATATTAGAAGCCAGCAGCAATATACCGCTACAGCAGGGTTTCTTAAACTTTTTGTAGTCACGGACCACTTTCGCAATTTGTATAATTCCACGGACCCCTATCAGAAATAATAGAGGAAAATAAAAAAAACTTATTTACATAAAAAGAAAACGTTTATTAGTAGATTTATCACACGTACACTAGCAAATTAGTGAGAAAGATGCAGCTGTTTAGCCGCAATGAGAACGTTAAATTATGGGGTTATCTTCGACAAGGCAAGGCGCATATCATCTGCGACGTTCAATCGGTTGCGACTTTTTGTTTTTATTGAGACCAGAACCGAGAACCCTGCCACGGGGCAAAGGTACGTAATAGCAAATAGTATCAGAACGGACATAGCTCGCTTGACAAGAACAGGGTAAGTTTGACTTAAAGAACACCAAAACTTGTCAATATCATTTGCATGAAATTCAGCTTTCAAAACTTCTTTTGATCTCATGTCAATTAAGTCATCTTTAATGAGATCTTTTTTGCTGATATTATCCTTGTCGATTATAAATGGACCCCGCACACACATTTCATTTTCAAGCGATTCTGTAAGTTAAAGTAGCCTTCAAAAGAAGTTTGCAATGTATCCAAATGCTTAGGCACCTCTTTCTGTAGCATTTTTGATATTGTGTTACCGTCACCGTGCTATTAACTCTTCAAACATCGGAAAATTTGCAAAGTTACCAGATTCCACCCTCTTTTTCCAAAGTTGCAGTTTACATATATGAAACCTTTCAACCGTTCAGATGCATCCACGATGCTCACCGCAAAGCCCTGAAGAGACAAGTTAATCTCATTCGATTGAGTAAATATATCTGTCAAATACGCTAGCTCCGGTACAAAATCTTCGCTCTCAAGATATTCAAACAGTGAATTTCCTTTATCTTTAGAAAAAGTAGCACTTCTGTCCTCAACTCAAACAACCGCTTTAAGACCTGTCCCCTTGACAGCGAACGAACTTCTGTGTAGTAAAGCAGCACTTCATGTTCTGATCCAATCTCTTGACAAAGACTTTTAAACAGGCGGTGCCGCGGTGGTTTAAGGCTCTTGCTCTGATGAAGTTAATTATTTTGACAGATGTAGACATTTTTCAGGAGGTTTCCTTCAGAAATATAGGTAAAGTCCGTGAAGCCAAGGCATGTCGATGTAAGACACAATTAGTTATTATGACATGAGGGATCCCTTTCTTAACCAAAGCCGTAAAACCAGACGTATTACCAAGCATTGCGGGAGCTCCATCGACCATCTTCCAGTCTATAAATAAAAGTACGTTGCTACCTTTTCAACTTGATAATACCACCATTGACGTCGTTGATTCTGTGAAATTTTTAGGCCTTGTTGTGGACAACTATTTAAAATGGGATTTGCACATCGATGCTTTAGCTAAAAAATTAAGTTCTGCCTGTTTCGCACTTAGATCAGTTGCTAATGTGCTTAATTTGTCAACATCTAGGACAGTCTATTATGCCCTTTATGAGTCGCATCTCCGATACGCACTTCCATTCTGGGGTGCGTGTTGTGCGACTCAATTTGAGCGTATCTTCAAATTACAAAAGAGAGCTGTGCGATATTCACTGAGGCTAACCAGTTGTGCTCACTGCCGGGACTTGTTTAGAAGATATAAAATATTAACTCTTCCTTCCCTATTCATACTCGAATCCGTCTGCCTAGTTCGCAAGCACGTATCGAGTATTTCTCTAGAGCCAGTTCATGGCTATCCAATTAGGAACGCAGAGCATAACATGTATCTGCCAACCCCTCACTCTGAGTTAGTAAAGAGTTCCCAATTGTACAATGCAAAAAAAAATGCACTATCATCTGCCATCTGAAATTAATTCCATTTCATCCTTTCCTGCATTTCGCAGAGCCTTGAGATCATACTTACTGGAGAAAGCCTTTTACGCGGTTAACGATTTTTTTATTAATATCTAGGGTTCTAAATTTAACACACATTCACTAAATTTAAGAAATGATTTTGTTTTCTATCCATTTAAATTTAGTATTGACATTATATACAGTTGTTTATTTACATGTATGTTTATATTTTATTTATATTTAATTAAATAAATTTTTGACAATGTACAATTTCTATAATTGTATAAAAAATTAAGTTCATAATAATTATTGTTTTAGTTTTGTATGTTTGCTGTTAGTTTTATATGTTTTTCTATTGTTAAGTGAAGTTTTGTATGTTTTTTATATTCTTTTTTTTAAGCTTTGTCAACAAAATTGTAAAATTTTTTTATGACAATAAAGCAATTTCTTCTTCTTCTTCTTCTTCTTCTATATTTTGTTCGTTGAAAAACCTTTTTGTTATTTCAAAAACATCTGAAGCATTTGTAGTCTCTCAAAGTGAATTACAAAAAAGAAACTCTTCTTTAATACTACGAGTGTCTTGTTGTACGTAACGGACAAATACCAAGAGTTGGCTACATTGTGACACATCGGTGCTTTCATCCAATTGAATGCTGAATGGAAACAGTGAAGCAATTGATTCTTCAACAACTTGTAAAACATTTGACGACATTTCAACAATTCTAGAATGAATAACATCGTTTGATAAAGAAACAGCTTCAACTTTGTGTTTTTTATTTTTTTTTTAGAATTTAGAATGAGTGGGAGGGGGGTTAATCACTTCGACCTTACAGATCCATTGTGTCCCCCTTTCTTGAATCATAACTCATCATACAGTCCCAGGGCTTTGACAAAAGCCAGTATCTGGGACGGTTTTATAGAGGGTAGTTCTCCATCTCCAATATCAGTCGTACCAAAATTCATGGCACGAATGGTTGTCGTCTCGGCGCACTCAGTGATGAGGTGTACTGGTGTTTCCCCATCTTCCCCACAGAATCTGCATTCGCCGTTTCCTCTTAGTTTCAATCTACTGAGGTGTCCATTGAGGAGACAGTGTCCTGTTAAAAACCCCGTGACAATCCGAAGATTGTTCTTACTCAGACCCAGGAAGGTCTGTGATTTTTCTTGATCATAAGCCCTCAGAAACTTCTTCGAGTGTCTTAGACCATTACAAGATTTCCATTCCAGGTTGCGGATGGAATCTTCCAAGTTCTTGAGTTCCGCCTTGAGTTGGTTCCCACTTGGAAAGCAGAACGGTTCTGGTCCAGTTAGTGGAGTGTTCGCTCCTTTCCTAGCTAGATTATTTGCTTTTTCATTGCCTTCTATCCCTTGGTGAGCAGGCACCCAGTGTAGGAGGACTTTGTTTTTTTGGCTAATTTATTCAGCTTCTCTATGCATTCTTTGACCAATTTCGAATTGATTGATACTGAGTTGATCGCCTTTAATGCTGCTTGACTATCAGATAAGATGGCTATTTCTTGTTTCCGATAGTTCCTATCTAAGATAAGTTGTACGCATCTCTCGATAGCGTAGATTTCTGCCTGTAGGATACTAGGGTAAGTGCCCATTGGTTCGGAGTAATTAGCTCTCGGCCCAATCACTCCGATCCCTGTTCCCGTATTGGTTTTGGAAGCATCAGTATACCAAGTTATGGTATGATCTTTTAACTGCTG